TTTCATGATTTGGGCTTTACTGTTTGGGTTTATAACTAGGAAGTGAGTTATTGTTTACGGTTAAATCATTTTATTTGGTTAAATGAGGTATTAAATTACTGAAATAGGCCTAACAAGAAACTAATTGTAAACAAAACATGCACAGTGTACAGGAAAGATCTAACTATAAAACTGGCTTCAGCTGTTCTATGAGAAATCTACTAAGGCGGTCGACACACGGGAAGACTGAAACTCAACTAGTTGAACCAACTGTTTTGTGACGCGATTACGGTTGCAGTTGCGTTGGTTAAATCCGCACACGGGCGCGACTATAGTTGAGTTGAGACAGTGAATGAGTTCTAATTCTGTCATAACGATACTGTGTACTGTGTATTGTGTTTCAAATGAGTAACGGTGATGAAGTAATAATAACACTGCCTGGTGTTTTATAAACAATCAAGAAAGCGTAGAGGACGTAGAAGGTATCGGGTACATCCTTATGTTAAAACAAATATTTAATGTAGGCTCTTTGTAGCTGCTGCTGCATTACAAGAAACAGACGCAAAATTTCAGTCTGTGTACAGGGTGTCAAAAAGTGCTTACGAAGAGTTATCACAGTTGGTATACCTGATCCTTGAAAAGCACAATACAAATATGCGAAAAGTTGTTCAAACCAGGCGACTGAAATCACCTAGCAACCGGCAGGTCCGGTTGCTTAACGACTGATCGCCGACTGGTCCTCAACTGGTCGCGTCGCAGTCGCACCGTGTGCACTGTCCCACCTGACTACATTGGTCGGGACGTAGGCGACTAGTTTGTCCAACTGGTTGCCGATTTCAGTTGGAAAACAGTCTTCCCGTGTGTCGACGGCCTAAGGGAGTATGCTCTATCCATGGTAAAATGCAGTAAAATTGAGTGACATTAGATGAAATCCCTTGAATGTAAATTTATAAACATTGTTTGTCCTCATTTCTTCTTACTCTATGTGTTTATGTTTTGTAAGCTATAAGTATAAGAAGAATGAGATATAAGAAACAGCTGTACCAGTGTCAGTGACAACCATAACACACAAGATGCAACTTATACCTCACATCCACTGTACTTTTCAGGAGCTTTGCCAAGGCTATCCAGTCTAAATATACTTGGAGAAGTCGCTTGGCTTTACTCTCATGTAACAAATTATTGAAATAGTTCTGGTGCAAATTTTAAAATTTATTACCAGCTTGATTTATACTGCAATATTTTCTTTTTTTAGAAATGTCTTTGAAGTTATAATTACTGACCTTAACGTCATTGTCAGTTGATTCTGGAACTCCGAGCTGCAAAATTCAAATCAAAATTCAGCTGCAAAAATATTAATTTGTATTGGTCTTGTGACATGCAACATTTTGCAATGAATATTGGCTAGTTTAATTTGTCATTTTGTCCTTAAGTTTACACAATTTTCCTGTTGTAATTTTACAAAGTGTTTAGAAAGTAAAAACTATTTGAGGTGAAATATATGTACCGGTACTTAAGTTCTTGATCTGTAGGATGTTACAATGTAACAATAAGACTGTAATTATTGAAAACCCATTTAATTTTAGACTCTCCCATCAGTGTTATTAAAAACCATTCAGAAGCCTTTGATTTTGATTATAAAATTGCAGAGCTGTCAGCCAGTTATTCTAAGACTTAATACCCCCGCCGCAGCAAACCTGCAGACTAAGCGAATTTCCATTAACCTGATTGGATTTACACTAAAATGCCTCCATAAAAATAGCACATTTATTTCCTATTTAAATAGAATTAGTTTAGGGAGGGTAAAAAAGATTTTTTTTATAAAATGATAATAGTTTAGTAAGAAATAAAAGTATTTTCCAAAATCGATCAAAATATGTTCATAAACAAGCAAACTACAACAGTTATTACCTTATTCTCCATAAGAATAACATGGGAATTTTAAAATTACAATTTTTTTGAATTTTCTCCGTAACAATTAGGCGCATAATAACGCTTCAATATACTAAATTATTTGTTTTTTTAAGCTCTACAAAATGGTTTAAAAAGAAATTGTGAAATTTTGTGTTTTTAGGGTCAAAAATGGAAAAACCCTATTTTTACCCCATAGAACCCCCTATAAACCCCCGTTCCCATAGTCCGATCATGCTGGTTCGCGAACTCATTCAAGTTTATCCTGCCTTACACCTTCAAACCAAATTTTATCAAAATCGGACAAAAATTACTCAAGTTATCGTGCGGATGGACACACATATATATATATATATATCTATATATAGATATATAAAAATTTGAACAAATGGTGTTTTTGGTTTCTGGGGACATCAAAATGAAAAAGTAAATCGGTCCTGGGCTTAGGTCTTACCATGAGACCTACGGTAATAGCTACTTCCCTATAGGGAAATTCGCTAAAAGAAATCTACTTTGAGAAACTTAATAACTTAAATCAAGAATAACTTTTATAAACAATAAGTACATGCACACAATAGAATGTAATCCACAATGGACCAATGGTTGCCAAAGGGGCAAACCCAGGTAGAAATTTGGCGATTGTCATCTGTAAATGTTGGCTTACTTACTAACTGCATGGAGGAATTGCCAAAAGTCATTGTACTTTATGTGAAGGACAACAACTTCTTGTGCTATAAATGAACCCCTAAAAAATACAAGATATATCTTGATGAAGATAAAATTGCCCATATCTTTTGAAAAACAACAAAGAAGTTTCATTTAGTTGCTCTTGAATTTTTGTTTACCTTAAGGCTAAATCTTTTGCTCATTTTGGTAAGGAATTTTGTAGTAAAATATTGTTTGTTTTGAGAGAAAGAAGGTCGCCCCATAAGAAAGGTGTCACTATAAAGTTATAAACTGTTTCTTGCTTTGTATACTCGTAGTGCACATTTTAGAATAGAATACTGTACCTGTACCTAGTTGGGTTACTAGCTTCTTTTACAATTAATTGTGCAAAAGCTATCGAGCTATCCTTTAAAACTATCAAATAAATAAAAATAATTTTACGATCAACAAATACTAACATTACATATATAGTCATAACTAGCTTACACATTATGTAGTAATAGGCTATTGTTTTGCTTTTAAACTATATCAGTGCCCTTGAGATAATAAGACCAAACCATTTTTGGCCTTGAAGTTAGGAGTTATCTTCTTTTGAGATAATGAAGCAATTTTTGCAATGTCAAGAAAATGATACTCCTAATTTTCTGTTTACTGGACAAATAAGTGAGAAATCGTACTTATGCTATTAATATTTTATCATACCATCATACTGAAAACTCACATATACAAAAAACATATCATAAACATGCTTTTTTACATTTTCCATAATCGTGACTTAGTGACTTCACTTTTTTTTGCAATAACTTTTAATAATTCATTTTTCATATATTCTAATGATATTTTTATATTAAGCCTGGAAGTTCTCAGAAAACTTTGAAAATATTCTAGTTGCCAAAGACTCAATCTATGTTCCAAAAGTCTTCTTGACGGATCTATTCTGGGATCATTTGTCAGTGAGTCTCAAAACTATTTTCATCCTTGCTCTGGGACAGTTCCACTTAATATCTACATTTTATTCTAATTTTAATCTAATTAAATCAATTTAAATACAAAAGCATTTTTCTCTTGTAAATAAATAGGTTTTTCATTTATTCTTTTAGTGCTATTAGTGCTATTAGTGTACACCAAATTTTAACAGATTAGAATTGACTTGTTGAGTCTTATGAAAAGAAAACAGAAATTTAGAAATAACTGGATCTCAAACACAGTTTTGGATGTCCCAATTTACACTTGAGTCTTCCACTCCACAGTTGATTTTAGGTGGGCCTCATCCCATTAACTCTACCCCAGACAGACGATCACATCATTAGTTGCTCAACAGACATGAATACTGAGACATTTAAACCGTCTATCTATGGCGATGTCTCTAGAAAAATGAGACAATGTCTTAGACTAACACCAATTAGACTTAACGGCTCACTGCTTTAACAAGCTGCTACCTTGTTTTTCACAATGAGGCTACACGTGGTGGCTACGCTTTACTAGCCAAGCATTTTTGAATGGGCTTGGACCGAGCAAACCAATTAAAAATGGAGTGTGCTGCTGGCCTGGAGGTTAGCATCCCAGACGTTGGTCAGAGGAGGATGGGGTTGATACCCGACACATCCCACACTAAATTGGATGGATTTGCTTTTCCTTAAAAGCATTTGTGACTTGTTAACTTAAAATGCCACTGGCGTATGTAGATATTAGAAAAAACCTTGAAAAATCAATATTTAGTAAACGCTAAACAGTTTAGGCAATTGATTCATGTCTGCAAGTCAGTTTTAAAATGCTCTTGGCTAGAAATCAAATTGATAGAATCGTATTCCTCGGTTTTGGAAATTGCTATTCAATAGGTCTTCCTTTAGTGTCTCTTGAAAACTGATTTTACAGTAAAATTTTTTTATAAATCTGTGATTCCAACGCTACAACTCTGGCTGCATGTCTGAGGAATCAGCTGGCATCTCATCATGCAAGAATTTGTCACTGGCATCCAGAGCCCTTCTTTTAACATTATATTATGTACATCAGTAGTTACAATTTATTATACAGCTGATTTCAAAGCTGTTTGGCAAAACTTATTTGGCTACAATAGTAAACATTTTCGAATAGCCGTTACTTACACCTATGTACAGTTTTAACTGGTCACTCCATTTATTTGAATGATTATTTTGTTTGTCTGCCTATGATAAAAGTTAAGTTGTATAAAATATTTTTGATCCCAATTGTAAAAGGTTAAACACCATACATTCAATGCCATACATGGTAAATCAATTATCTATAATAAACAAAAATTGTTTTCCTGTCATCAGCCAATTATTTCTGGATAAAAACTGTTCATTGAAACAATTGAACCATACTCTCTACATCTCTACAAGAAGACAATATCTTAAAAGTATGAGTATTGGTGTTAATTATGTAGCTTTACCATAAAAGTTTTTAACAGCAAGTTCCTCTTACAGAGTTTGCGTGGGTGACTCTTGCCACCAATGACTCGTATTCCATGGGAGCGCTTGTCCTGGCGCACTCACTGCGCCGAGTCAACACAGCACATCAGTTGGTGGTCCTCATTACACCCGGTGTCACCGAGGCTATGAAGTAAGTAACCATCTTGAAATACCAGTAGAGGGTGAAAATCAAAAACAAATAAACTGCTATATATTGTATACAAGAGGTTAAGTTACCTTTTTGATTCTGTCCAAGTAATCCGTAAGTCGTCATTAGTGCGACCGGTTTCGCTGTCTATGATGGCATCATTGTCAAGCTAGACGTAAAATCGCTCCTAAGAGGTCGTAATGAATCTTGAAAAACATGTAACACAATAACACGTAACTATAACACGATACACAAAAAAAAAACGAAAAAATGCATGGCCTACACCATTGTCTAGACCTACACCCTGTACCCGCCGCCGTGTTGTAAATTAGTTGTGTGGCCATGCATTTTATGATCTTTTTTTATGTACGTGTTATGTGTTACGTGTTTTTCAAGACTCTTTATGACCTCTTAGGAGTGATTTTACGTCTAGCTATGTTTATACTAAATTTGCTTATTTGGGTACCCCATACATATTTCCCATATGAGAAAACATCTTTCCATATTAGTGAACTCCTACCATCAAAAGGCGTTAAATAATTAAATAGAGCTCTTTTAGTATACAACTCAAACTATTAATCATTCCAATGCTATTCTCATACAACTGAAAAGGCAAATAATTATGCATTAAAAAGGGGGAAGACTTTTAAAAACCTTTTAAAGCATAAGGCCATAAAGTAAAAACCTTTTTTTATTAACAATTTTCAATGCTCATATTCCTATCTTGTGTTTATTTTTTTCTCTCAACATGATGAAGCTGGTACAGTTCTCCTTGTGTCAAACAAAGTACTATGTCAACATACAGACATTCAATGGCACATAGCCATGGCGGCTGCAAATCCTCCGTTTGTTTATTGGCAACACTGCTTGTTTCTTCGGTTTCTCTGTAGTTATATTTATGTCTTGCAGTTAATTCGGTTGATATAAATTTAACACTATTGCTCTCATGATACTTTTGGTTAGATTTTGTCGTAGGATGATATTTCGTTGGTTAACATGGGCGGAATAAAGGCTATATCAAGTGGGGAGGGGGGTGAATCACTTTGGGAGGGGGAACTTCCGGGGGGACAGGAGGGCCCGGGAAAATTTTGAATAATTGGGAGTTAAAATTGAAAATCTATGTTCTAAAATAGAATGTTAATTGTTTCATACACAAATGACTAAAAACTAGCCTATGTCAGTGTTTAACAATATTATGTATTTGCCAATGTAAATTATAAAAATACCCCTGCCGCAGCAAACCTGCAGACTAAGCGAATTTCCATTTTCCTGATTTGATTTTCAATTAAATCTATTTCCATAACATTAGGTTTTAACGAGTACCTAGGTTTGCTGCCTTTAGGGAGGGTAATAAAGTGTGTTTTCTTGTAAATAAATAATAGCTCTAGTATAAAATAAATAGATTTGAATAGGGGGCCAGGGGTCCTCCCCCAAAAATCTTTGAAAAAATATAAGCTCCAAAGACGTATTTTAGGCTATTTAGAAATCAAAATAAAAGAAATTACGGATTAAGTGAATACGGTGAACATACTTGAAGGACCTTGTAATCGGCTAATTTACGAATTCCATGTAAGAACTTCACCCTTACACATTATGGAAAATAGCTGACATAAGGTAAAAGAAAGGAACAGACTCATCCAAACCCTAAATGTGTGTGTACTGTGTACCTAGGATCCTAAATAAATTGCTGGTTTGTAGCATATAACTCAGGTCTTCTCACAGACAAAGTCAAGAACTTGTCTTTGTCTATTTGAGAGCTCCAACACCTTTTTAATAATGGTAAGACGTATTTTTCACCACATAAAACGTTAAAATTTAGGGTGTCTGTCTAGTTTATTTCCATTTTAAAATTCAAGGCCAATTCTAGACTTTTTAAGACTAATGCCAAATTTTTAAACAATTAGTGATGTATTGATACCAAAATGTAGCAATTCTCAATTCTTGATACTAATGCCAATTTTTTAAATTCAACCAAATTTTTGAATTCTACACCAAACCCTGTCAAGTAAAGAAAAAAAAAGTAGCAAATAAAAAATTCTAACTAACCAATTTGGATCTTTTTGGATGATGAAAATCTTCCACGACCAAGTAGACATCATCATTAATGTCATCGTCACCGTTCGCGATCGCGGCAAAATTATGATCATTTCCCGCAGCCGTGTAGACACCATCATTATGACTGCACGGCCACAGAAACGTCATCGGCGTCGTCTGCGAATGCGATAATCGCAGCAAAATCATAAAAATTCTCTACTTTCATACCAAAATAAAGACTAAATCCCAACTTTTGAAGACCGATTTGAAATTCAGTACTTATTCCTGACTTTCCCGGTTTTCCCAACTACTAGACACCCTATAAAAATAATAAATTTTGTTTACAAAAAATCAAACTTTGAGGTTCTTATTAATTTTTTAAAGTTAATTTTTCTAACTTAACCAAAATTAATTTGAACCCTCATATCTGGGAGGGCTAAGCCCCCCAAGCCCCCCCCCCCCCCATTGGCCACCACTGACAAAGACAATTCAATATACTAAATTATTTGTTTTTTCAAGCTCTTCAAAATGGTCTAGAGAGAAATTGGGAAATTTTATGTTTTGAGGGTCATAAACGAGAAAAACCAACATTTACCCCATAAATCCCCCCATAAAACCCAGTTCCCATGGTTTGATCATACTGGTTCCCGAGCTTGTTCAAATGAACTTAGGCTTACACGTTTGTACCAAATGTCATCGAAATTGGATCATTTTTGCTCGAGTTATCATGCTAACGGACACATATGTATATTTATATATAAATATATATATATACGACTTGGAAATATAGCGTGAAAAACTATATTAAAGTAAACAAAAATCAGCTGTGTATGGCTTCCAAATGCTATACTTATGGAGAACATTTTACGTTATATCTAAATTTTAATTAAACTTTGGGAAATTCAACTATTTTTCCCGCCGTCTCGGGATCAAGACCTTTATTAATTTGAGCCCTCTCCTGTCGTTCTACAACATCCCAGTTGTCCACAATTTTGACGCAAAGTATCGCGTTATGTAATTAATATATAGATATAAATTTTGTATCTATCAAGCACCTGTTAAATTAGAATGAGTTTGTAAATAAATTGATTTGATATTCAAGGCAATATCAACATAGTTTTATAAGCTCAGAAAGGCAGGATCCACCTTTGTAAGATACATTTATAGATAGCTCTCTTACAGGTGTTTTCTACAAACTTAAATACAGTTGAGCTCAAATGAAATGAAGCCAAAAGTGTTGCGTATTCCTTCAACACAGTTTTAGAAACTTCCTGACGTTGGGTCATAAATTCACTTGTCAAGAAGATTATTTTGGAAACCAGAATTTGGGTGGAGGTGAACAAGTAAAGTTATGATACCGTTAGTTTGATATAAAAGGGACAACCGGGTCAAAACTTAAATGTACTTCTGAGTTCCTGTTTTGTAAAACTATTGGGCATTTTACATGAGTTTTTCATGTGAATACTTTTATCTTGGAAATATAAACAATAATTTTATTTTATTTTACTCATATCATAAAACAATACACTTTTTACAATAGGAGTATTCCCTTTAGCATCCCTTTTCCAGCCGTCATACTTAACTGAATTTTACGATTGTGGTGTCATTTTAAAGCTTATGATCTAGTGCACTTTCAAATGGTAATTAAAATGTAATTTCCTTTAGGGCTTTGCCCTTCACAACTTTAATTTATTCCTAGAGTCACATTTCAAAGATCCAGTTATGGATGCTGATCAACTTTCTTTACAACAGTTTGAATTAATTGTAATTTAACAGCTGTTCCTTCAGTTTAATGTTGAACCTCTGTTAGATGTTAAAACAGGAGCAGAATAAACGGTTTATGGACAAATGTTTTTAAAAAGGAATTTTTTTACAACTAATATGATTGAGGTAGGTAAATCGCTCTTTATAGTGTAGATCAAATCTAAAATAAAAAAATGTATTGTAAATTACCGGTAGTAGTTCTATATTCACCTAATAACTGTTCTGAACAAACATAACCTTGAAAAGTTAAATGGATTGCCACTGCACTGGATTTATTTTGCCTCTGAAACCAGTTTTGGACACTATTACCCAGACAGCACACTTTATCCCAGGGACATCCCATAGTAGTCCCATATGTCCTGAGAATGTCTCGGGATATGTACGCTATCCTCAGGATATCCCGCAAAATCCCGGGACGAGTACGAAATCCACAGGATATCCTACAATATACCGTAATGTCCCGGGATTTGTAAGTTAACCTCAGGATATCCTGTAAAGTCCCGGGATATGTACGAATGCCATAGGATATCCCAGAATGTCCCATGAAATCCCGTGACATGTACAAAATCCACTGGATATCCTGCAATGTCCCGTAATGTCCCGGTAACAAACTGAAGAAAAAAATACTACCACTGATGAAATGTATATCTAAATTTAAATGTTCAACAATGCCAATATATAATAATTTGTTTTTTTCACTAGCGTTTTCAGAAGCTTGGTTTCCATCTTCAGGCTGTGTTTACACTAGTACAAAAAGTAAATATTTACTTAATAAATTAATTTTAAACAAAGTTAAAACAGATGATTTTAAGGATATTGGAAAAATAAAAAATAATATTAGAAAAATTAATCTTTTGAATTTTGGATATATTACAGTGTTGTTCTTGATGTAATTATTTTCAGTAATTCCGAATTTATAATTGGGCCGTCTTCATTATTTAACAAATAATTTTGGTCTGTTTTTTTTTCTAAAAATAAGATTCCCACGCATTAAGACGTCGAGGTTTTATAATTTGTTTTAAAAGTTTAAGGTTTCCCAGATTGAAAATATGTCTTGTTAATACTGTGGGTTAATACAAGGGCTGACTTAACGTTACTGACATATTACTACCACTGAGTTCAAGAAAACTAGAGTTCTATCATAGTTGTGTGAAATATGAATTTAATTCTAACTTTAAATTAATAAAACAACAAAAAAATAATTTTAATCCTATAACAATCAATTATAACAGTGCTAATCTAATGGTAATTAAATAATCTATATTCAAATACCAGTATCCTCTCCAACTACCAGAAAAACAATTCAACTACTTGAGGCATAAACAGATTAACAGAATCATATTATAGCCTATACTGGGGTAGTATCAAAAATATTTTAAGTATTGCGACCATTGCAACTGTCGACTACTCTTTCACCACTTGAAAACACTCATATCCACCAAGCGTAGATAGCTCAGGAGGTAAGGTAAGAGGCTCATAAGGCGAAGGTACCAGGTTCGAGACCCGTCAGGGCCAAAAACTTTTTTCTCGTTTTTTTCTTCAAAATTTGTGATTATTAACTATTTAATCAATTTAATAAACTTTCCAGTGGATATCCTGGGATATCCCAAGTTGACCATAGGACCACTATGGGATATCTTGCATATCCTGTCGCAATATCCGTGGGATGTCCTGAGGAGAAAGTGTGCTGTCTGGGTAACTGCACAGTTTGTGCACAGGTCCCCTTTTGTTTAACTTTATTTATTCAACTTTATACTTTTTTCATTATTTTGCTTTATATTTTGCATTATTGTTTCTCTTAATTACAATTTTAATTGTAGCATAATAATATTTAAATATTTAAAGTTTCTTGGTGTGAAAATGTTACACCTTTATCTTCATTGTTCTATATACTTAATGATTTTACTCTTAATTCAATTGAATGTCCCCTCTTAAGCATACAATATTCTCGGTGCCCGGCTTTGCACATAATATATAATATATTAACATTGACTATACACAAAAATATTACACAAACTAGAATTATCAACCTCTCCCAAAATGTGTGAGAGCGTGGTGCAGTAGACTTACCAGCATATATGACCGCTGAATGAAGTACGTCAAAATCATTCACTATACATGATAGACCATTTGCCAATTAAGATGTTGTGTGGTGTGGGAGGAACGAGGAAAAGTCTGACAACAAAACTAAGAGCATAAAAAATAACGAGTGCTATCTACGTTTTTGTAAACACGGAACAGTTGGAATATTTTCTATACAAAATTATTGCAGGGAAATTTACAAACATCTATTCTATATATAATTCAGTTTTAAAAATCTTTGTACAACTAAATCTAGAGTTCTACTGGACCGATTTTATTAATTAATGGGTCGTTGGAAAGCTTAGGTCGTGTAGATTTGCAAATAATTATGAAAGTTTGTTTTTATTATGATCTATGGTGAAAATTTTCAAAAAAAACATGTTTTCCATAAGAAATACATTGAAAACGGTGTTTTTCACACTTTTTATTTGGGTGCGACTTTTAGCTGCCTTTTTTAGTGTTTCCAAGAAGTGTATGGTATCAATTTGTAGGAAATTTTATTCTCTTTCAGAATATCACCTTCCACTTTGGTCGATTTCCTCACCATTTAAAAGTTATTTGCAAAAAAGCTAAGCAACCTCCGAATTTATAATAATGAGAAAATATTGAGTTTGGGATATTTTTGTTAAACTTTGTACAACTAAATCTAGACTTCTACCGGACCGATTTTGTTAATTAATGAGTCATTGGAAAGCCTTACTCATGTAAATTTGCAAATAATTATGAAAAGTTGATTTTATTTAATATTTGTGGTGGAAAAATAAAAACAACAAAAATACATTAAAAACTGTTTTTCAGGTTTTTATTTTCAAGTTTATTTTTGTAGCCAGCTTTTGGCTGCCTTTATTAAATAATTTCAAGAAATACACAGAAGGTATTTGTAGGAAATTTTATCTTCTTTCAGAATATCACGTGCATTTTCTACGATTTACTCACCATTTAAAAGTTATTGTCAAATTAGATAAGTGACCTCCAAATTTTTAGTTGTTAAAAATACTGAATTAGGGATATTTTTGTTAAACTTTGTACAACTAAATCTAGACTTCTACTGGACCGATTTTGTTAACTAATGTACTGTTTGAAAGCCTAATTTGTGTAGATTTGCAAATAATTATGAAAGTTAGATTTTATTAAAAATTTGTAGTGAATAAAGAATAAAAAGCAAAAATACATTAAAAACTGTTTTTTTTTATAGTTAATATTTTAAAATTTCAATTTATAGTTAACTTTAGGTTGCCTTTTTTGAATATTTTCAAAAAACGCTTAAGAGTACTTTGTAGCAAATTTTATTCTCTTTCAGAATATCACCTTCCACTTTGGTCGGTTTCCTCACCATTTAAGAGTTATTTGCAAAAAAGCTTAGCAACCTCCTAATTTATTGTGGTGAGAAAATATTGAATTGGAGAGATTTTTGTTAACTTTCTACAACTAAATCTACAGTTCTACTGGACCGATTTTATTAATTAATAGGTCAATAAAATCTGTGTAGATTTCCAAATAATTAGTAAAGTTTGAGTTTTATTTATTTATGGTAGTAATACGTTTGTCGGTATGAATAATCTAAAAATCTTTATGGTAGTAATAATGGGTTAGCCAGTATGCATCATCTGATCATATGGAACACATGTATTAACCTATAGTTTAACAGCTGATTGTTTTATTGTTATTTCCTTGATTTTTCTTTGTTTACATTTAGTTGTTTACTATTTGAATTGGTGGTTGGGGTCCGTAAAGTGTGTTTCTAAAGTGATGTTTTTAATCTGTACCATTAATAAGTATTGGTAAGTTAAGTGATGTATGGATTTCATAACCAAAAATAATAATTTTAAACTGTCAATTATAAATTATTCAAATTTAATTTATAATTCACAGTTTAAAATAGTATTTAATATTCGTTATTTTGAACTGTTAATTATAAACTAAATATTTTACATTAGTTGAAAAATGAATAACTTTACTCTTCACTACATGGTTGGTGATGGAAACTGTTTCTTTAGAAGTGTCTCATTTTTATGCCATAAATCTCAATCCAGATACAGTGATATACGATCCACGGTAGTTGATGAAGTCGTCAATAACTGGGACTACTATTGTCCTTTGATCGTAGGGGATAAGACATATAGACTAGAAGTAAAAAACGCGACGGAATACAGAAATTTGATGACCAAAGATGGGGAATACGCCGGTAATGTCAAAATCGAAGCTGCAGCAAGAGTTTTTGACTGCCAATTTAAAATATATGCTGAGAAATTGGATTATTTTGTAACGGTTGGTGAAGGCACAACGATCTATAAACTAGGATTCTCAGGAAATGTGGATGCTGGGCATTACGATGTTTTGATAGAACAATAGTATGCCTGAGAATCAAGAGGATATAATCTTACCTAAATCAAAACGTGGCCGTGCATCAAAAAATAGAAAAAGTAAAACATGTTCTGGCAGACGTGAATCAACAGCTCATAAAAATAAATTGAAGAAACCAAATTATAGTATAGATAAAGATTTACTACAAGGGGTAAAAGAGTGTTTATCAAGCAATCAGGATGGAGACCCAGAAAATGAAAAAGAAACAGAACAAGATAGTCTGACCAACACTTCACTCAGAGATGATGCAACTTCCTCAACCTCCTTGGTATTGGGAATGCCAATACACAAATTAAATTTAAAAATTGGAGCTGTAATAATGTTGCTACGAAATCTTACCAGAAATCGGGGGTTATGTAATGGCACACAATTAATTGTTAAAGAACTTTTAATAGTTCCCAATTTTAACAGTTAATAGAAGCCCAATTTAATAATTGCAGAGGTTTTAACTGGATCAGCAGCACGTGAAATTGTATTCATTCCAAGGATTGACTTAGCACAGACGGACACAGATTTACCATTTGTTTTAAAAAGACGGCAATTTCCTTTAAAATTAGCGTTTGCTATTACAATAAACATAGCGCAAGGCCAGACATTGGATAAAGTTGGGATATACCTTCCAGCACCAGTATTCAGCCATGGACAATTGTATGTTGCAATATCAAGGGTTAAAAGGTTTGAAGACATAAAAATTAAAATTATCCCTGGCAAAGAACAAGGAAGATTATTAAAACAATCAGATGAAGTCTTTACAAAGAATGTTGTTTACAAAGAAATACTGTAAATAAAATATTTTTGTAAAATTTTAATTGTTTTTCATTATTTTACTCTTTTAGAAAATAAGTTTATTTTCTAAATAATTTCATTCTTTAAAAAATGTTCAGGTAGGTACTTACAAGGGCATATATTATGTACTACTGTACTTTCTAGGGACCGTTGTATTTAACTACAACGGGCTCTGTTGCTAGTCCTTAATATTTTGTAAACAAGCTGTAAATTTCTAATAAGATTGATGATTGTTTCAGAACACAGCTGAGTGCTGTATTCAATGTTGTCAAGTTGGTAGACGTGCTAGACTCTAAAGATGCTGACAATCTGGCTCTACTTGCTCGTCCAGAACTGGGAATCACATTCACTAAACTCCACTGTTGGAAGCTCACAGAGTACGAAAAGTGTGTGTTTCTAGATGCAGACACTCTTGTAAGTTGAATTATTGCTCCTTGTATTACCGGTACTGTGTGGTACAGTTTTGAATATAAAATTTTAATTTTGCCTGAATGATTGCGGTTAGTGGTGCGGTAATGGTGTTCTTTCTTTGTTATTGTCTAAATTAGTGTTTTCTGTGGATCCCAATGTTTTCCAGGTGATTTTACGAGGTGATTTTTATATCAAAATACAGATGCTGCAATTAAGGGGGGCAAGACAAGGTGGTTGTTCTAAGGATTCTGATGGTTGTTGTAAGGAATAAATTTATATGTTTATCTACAGGGTGTTTGTGAACTCTCTCGAAAAAATTCACAGGATTATTCCTTGGGTTAATACATGAATATTTTACATTATAACCATGGGTCGCCGGAGCCTTGTTTTCTGTCTGTCTGTCTGTATGTGTTTTTTATAAATAACCTTATAACTCGAGTTTTAATCGAGGTACAAACTTTAAATTTGACACACTTGTGTACTTTAACGTGGTACACAAACATGCAAAATTTCATTTCGTTGACTATAGCCGTGTCAAAATGGCGGCAATCTAAAATCTTTGACCTCAAATTACATGAAAACCACTAGAGTTACAAAAAAAAAAACAAAAAAAAAAAAAAAAAAAAAAAAAAACACAAGAATAATTAAATGTAGGAAATTTTATGCTAAATCAAATGACACCTAGATCTTAAAGATCGGACAACAAACAGCTGAGTTATTAATTTTTTAAATAATTAATAATTTCTTTACTGGCTTTTAATTGTTATTGTTTGTTCTTTAAAATCATCTGATACAGAGTACATTACGTAACCTTAAACAGATCTCAATAGTTAAGGTAAAAATAGGACACTTAATACATTTACCATCTAGTAAAAAAACTAAAAAATGTTGTTGTTAGGGCAAACCAGCTGTCTTACATTGTTGTGACAATTTAGAAAGGATCAGATGATTTTAAAGAATAAATAATAACAATTAAAAACCAGTAAAGAAATTATTAATTATTTAAAAAATTAATAACTCAAAAATATTATCTGATTATCATCTCAAAATCATCTGTCCAACCAGCTGTCTTACATTGTTGTTACAATTTAGAAAGGATCAGATGATTTTAAAGAATAAACAATAACAATTAAAAGCCAGTAAAGAAATTATTAATTATTTAAAAATTAATAACCCAGCTGTTTGTTGTCCAATCTTTAAGGTCTATGTGTCATTTGATTTGGCATAAAATTTCCTACATTTTGTTATCCTTGTGTTTTTTTGTAACTCTAGTGGTTTTCATGTAATTTGAGATCAAAGATTTTAGATTGCCGCCATTTTGAAACGGCTATAGTCAACGAAATGAAGTTTTGCATGTTTATGTACCACGTTAAAATACACAAGTGTGTCAAATTTAAAGTTTGTACCTCGATTCAAACTCGAGTGATAAGGTTATTTATAAAAAACACAGACAGACAGAAAACGAGGCTCCGGCGACCCATGTTTATAATGTAAAATATTCATGTATTAACCCAAGGAATAATCCTGTGAATTTTTTCGAGAGAGTTCACAAACACCCTGTATAACTTGTCCCCATGTATTTCAGGTGGTTTATGCCCCCTTAATTTAGTGGTCAGTTGCCTCCTCTCTGTAGGAAGAATGAAATAATATCTAAGGGAAACCCGTTATACTATGCTGATTATAAAACTTTTTTAAGTCAATAACTTATATTTTTTATAGAATTCTTTAAAATAAAAAAAAACCATTTCAGTTTCTAAACATACAGTATGGATTTAATATTTCAATACGGTATACACAATTTCAACAATATAACATCATAGCCTACTATGATGGAATAAACAAATCTGAATTTAAGTCTACTTTTGTTTTGTGAGTTTCAACGACAGTGGCGTTTATCGAGGTTTTTAAAACAACAGCCAAAACCCTGTATTTGTTGTTGAGTAATTAGCCTTATCAAAAATATTATCTCCTTCCCGAGTCCGATTTACGAATTTACCCTTCTCGCTATCAAACTGGCAACCTTGGCTTACTTTCAATAAATTTAGAGAAGCTCTTTAACCACTTGGCTACGCATTCAGATTTTCATACAACCAGCCCCAAATATCTGTGAATAATTAATAAATAGCTAAACCACAACTTTCACTGACAGTTACTATAACATTTTACAAGTAATGTCTCTTGACAATTGAAAATAATATCTTCTCAGAATCATTTTTAATATTCAGAATATTAGACTTAATGCATCTTCCCGTAGCCCTGTATAACATTGGAGCTGCTAAGTGTTGACGGGATATTCTTAGCCGGAGAAAGACGCACACACATTTGGTCCTGTGCCACGTTCGCATTGTTGACACCGAACCCTGCTAGCCATCTCATTACCTGGTTAAGGTTTAACAGATAACCTAATTTACAAAACCTCAACAATCTTAATGTTACTTGTTTGTATTAGGTGTGCGTTTAGGCGCAAGTCAGAAGTAGTTTATAATAGCCTTTCATTATTTTTAAATTGTCAGTTCACTGTTACAAAGAACCTCAAAAAACCCACACCTCACGAATAAAAAGTGTAACCTGATCTCTAAAAGGCTTGACACTGTAGTAGCATATTAATGAAACTAAATATTCTGTATTTATATTTTGTTCAACTAAATTTAAGTGTTAATGAATGGTGTAATGGAGCGAAGTGAAGCTCTTTGGGGTCAATGCGTTCTTTATAACACTTACTTAATCTCAATAACGGCTGAATATAATTTAGCCAAACTTACCAAGATTGTTTTGTCAAATGTTTGAATGGTTTAGACGTAACCAATTTCTATTTTTGATAATGCCTATATAATTTTAAAGTAACTCAAAGTTTTTAAATTTTAACATTCATTGGTCTTACGCGTTGCCATGATGGTTACAAAATAACGACGTAAATGTAAACAAAACAAAGAATCATAGCATATGTTAAAGTCAAACCATGACCTAAACACTGTACATGGGAAAAAGATTTGCATGATGACAACTGATCAAATGCCACAGAGAAAGTCTTAGGTTTTCATTTAAGTCCCAATTTAAAAATGACCACTGATAGGTACAGTCATAAAACATACTTTCTTAGGTAAATTAATTCAAAAGCCCAATTTTATTTATACTAGTCTAGTTAAGATGGGGACATAACTGAGGTATTGTCATACAACCAGCCCCAAATATGAGTGAAGTATTAGTATAAAATGAAGTCAAAACCTACTCTTACACAAGTTGGTGTGTGGCAACGCGATGGTATTCCTGTTCCCATGGTAATAACAGTAATAACAAACGTGTAAACAAAAATATCGTGCATACACTTCTTAATAAATTAGTGTACAACAGGTGTTTCGGTTTTTTTTTTTTTTTTTTTTTTTTTTTTTATTTATTTATTTGTCATGAGAGCCGAAGCCCCCTGACTGCATACCCGGTACCTATCCTTTAGGACATACCCGGGCCCCATGATGTAGGCCGAAGCTTACGCATCAACCTTTAGCACATCATGGGCGGATGACTTAAGGTCATCAGGCTCGCCGGCTGCCGAAGCAGACCCTTCGGAAGGAGGGTTGCCCCTCAATCCTAACCAGGGATTCCGGCTGCTTGTTTAAGCGTCACTCCACCTGGGTTCCACTAGGTCAGGACCTAGAGGTCCATGGTAGAGCGCCCCGACGCATTTAGTGCAAGCAACACTCGGGACCTATCTAATCCCTGACAGGCAGAACCCGCCATCAATAGCCAGGAGGAAGGGGACCCCAACCTCCCATTTACACCACTACCCGATCGAGGCCTTACCCATTGCTGGGAAACCAGAGATAACCAGAGCGATAGATCCCCAGATACCCCTGGCGGGCTCGGACCCAGCACCCGATCTACTTCGTTTGCCCGTCAGACCCAACATCACTGCCAGGCCATCAGGGTTTCCCAAAAGGAGGCAGGTATAGAAGTGGGACCCACCCGGATGAACCTATCCACCAGAGGTGGCGACACCCTTGACTCAATTGAGGTTCCGGAAAGAACCCCCCACACTCAAGATAACCATACCGTCCGTGCTCAGAGACAGGGATTGGTTTGCATAAGTGCCTACAAACCGTTGCCCTCACACTGCGGAAAGTTACGTTGCCCTTGAGTGTCCCCGTGAGCTACGGGTACTTGCCCGTTTTCACCTCCAGGAAAGGTTACTTCCAAAGTCGAGGATTTGCCCACTGAATGCTGGTCGCACACAACAAGCAGGCCGAAGCCCAAAGAACCACAGACACAGGTAGGTTAGAGATTATGATGCACTTCCATCTCTCCTAGAGCTAAACACCCCTCCATCCTGGATAAAGGAATGTCACTGGGACCCAATGCCCAGTCGTCCATGTCTGTGGCCTACTTGAAAATGCCGATACCAACACGGAGCATTTACCTCCCCTCTGGGGGCTAGGTATTTCACCTCCCAGGACGAGGCTACTTCCAAAGTCGAGGATATGCCTCACAAAATGTCAGTCGTACACGACAGGTAGGACTCAGTCACAACCACAAGCTACAGGCAGGTGAAAGATCTATGAACTTAATCAACACTAGCAGAGCTGAACACCCCACCACCCTGAATGGAGGGAATGTCACTGGGTACTCTCACTTTGGGTACAACCCAAAGAGGCTGGCTTGTCCAGTCGTCCATAACTTGTGGTCTACCTGAAGTGCCGGTTCCAACACCGGGCAATTACCTCCCCTCTGGGAGAGCTAGGGTCCGCGTGGTCGCCCAGGCCACGAACCCACGCAAGCGTGGGCCCCCTGCGGTTAATTCGGTTTTCGGTGTTTCGGTTTGCTGGAAGAGCAATGTTGCCGCCTTTGTATAATGAAGGGAGATCCCTCGTGTATTTGTTACTGACTAAGAACAGTTTTTTCATTAGCCATTGACCATTTAATATCAAGTAAGCCAATGTTTAAGGTCGAAGCTACACTTAATGATTGAAATGAAATGAAATAATATTTATTGGCAAAACACGTACAGAATATTACAGGATGTATGTACAGGTGCTTCGTCGTAAATAAAATTGTCTTTATACAAGTTGTTTCTTTCTTTTTTAGCTTAAATACATTTAAACATTTTTTCTGTTTATTTTTTGCAAACCTCTAAAACAAGTTATAACCTTGACTACAAGTCTTGTTGAACAATCCTCATGAGTGACTTAGTTATTGAGTTTATACTGTAATTTATATTCACTTAAAAACCACAAATTTTCATTGTTACATGTTAAGATTTATCAGAAACGCTAAGTATTAAACATATTGAGCAAGTTTTAACAAACTTGTGTTTTTCACAGGTCCTACAAAACAGCGATGAGTTGTTTGAGCGGGAAGAGTTGTCTGCTGCGCCAGACGCAGGTTGGCCAGACTGTTTCAACTCTGGCGTGTTTGTCTACAAACCTAGTCAACAAACCTTCCAAGCACTCATAGAGTTTGCGTTAATACATGGAAGCTTTGATGGTAAATGTGTATGTTAATAGTGAAATCCTCACTGATAGCAATTTTATTTTGGGGATGCAAACCTGGGTGTATATTTTTAACTGAACATATGCAATTGTGGAGTAGGGATACCTTTTCTTTTTCTTTTTGTATTTTTCACATCCTGGGGTTAATGATAAAGTTTTATAACGCTATAATGACCAGAGTCAACATTGCCATTAAACATCAAGTCAGATACTTCTTCGCCAGAACCGAAATCGTAAGTCACAGTTTCTCAAGCAACTGCCCTGTGTAGGCCTACTCGAAAAAATATAGTTAGGATATAGTTCACTGATAAATTGTAGTTCCAAATATCCCAGCGTACTCGCCATCTCGAGAAGATAAAATTTGGACGTCGAACACTGATCTTGAGTAAGATTAATCACTTACGATAAAATGTTTGTATGTTTACCAATCATTATCAATTATCTGTACAACTTGCAAGCGGATTTCCCTATGATTGTTCTGGTGGCTATAGAGAATAAATTATATTGATCAAAACAATAAGTTTCCGTCCCCTACTATGGGTATTATTTGACATTCCATACTCAAACTTAAACTCATTTACCACTTTCCTTCAGATCACTTTGCAGGAAAACTAAAACATTTTTGTGTCCCAGTTAGTCTGTTATGACTCAAAATTCATAGATTTGAAGTAGTGACAAATCCAATATAACGACCCCAATTCAAAAGAGTTGGTATTTTTTTGTAGGGACTTCCAGAGCACATTTAACACAAATTTGCTCTTTATCTTTTTAGTTCGATGGTTCTTTACATTTTTTTTCGTTCGGTATGTCTCTTTACGCCTAATGATTACCTTTTCTTTTTCTTTTTGTACTTTTCACACCCTGGGGTTAATGATAAAGTTTTATGACGCTATAATGACCCGAGTTAACATTGCCATTAAACATCAAGTCACATACTTCTTCGCCAGAACCGAATGGTAAGTCACAGTTTCTCAAGCAACTTCCCTGTGTACTTGAAAAAAAATTCACTGATATATTGTAGTTCCACGTATTTTAGCGTACTCGCCATCTCGAGAAGGTAAAGTTTGGTATCACTGAACGTCTAACACTGATCTTGAGTAAGATTCGTCACCTACTATAAAATGTTTGTATGTTTCCCACTCATTAGCAATTATATGCAACTTACAATTGCAACTTGCAAGCGGATTTCCCCATGATTATTCTGGTGGCCATAGAGAATAAATTATATTGATCAAAACAATAAGTTTCCGTTCCCTACTATGGGTATTATTTCACATTCCATACTCAAACTTAAACTCAATTACCACTTTCCTTCAGATCATTCACTTTGCAGGAAAACTAAAAAATTTCAAAAATAAGTTAACAAATACACTTTCCTTGATCAAAATCGAGTGCTTATAAACAGAAACTCCAAGTTTAATAATTGCATACTGAAAGTGAGGTTATACAAATAATAACAAATGTCTGACAAACATTAAACAGCTGACGAATAATTTATAAACTGTGTATCTTCAATAAGAATTGTATTGACTCGACCTTTAAAGGGCTGTAGGTCGTAGCCCTTAGAAAAAACGTAAATTCTAATGAAGTTCGGCAAATCTATGCATTATTCCCTTTAATTTGAGACATAAAACTTTTACATCGGTCCAGTAATTACTGAGAAAACAGTGTTACAACTGTGTATTAAATATATAGATAGATATTGCTGACTAAGATCAGCTGTTTCTTCATCCATAAGGTTATTATACAGTGTGTAAATTAAGTATGGAAACAAATCTGTATTTTTAAAACCGAAATAGATAGAAATATTCTATTTGTGGCAATAATAGTTAACAAAGATTCCGCAATTTTTCACATGAAAAATATTTTTTTACCCCCCTAACAGGGTAGGTGGTAGGGGGTGACTTATTTTTTTCAAATAGCAACCCCTATTGAGTGATGGTATTCCTGTTCCCATGGTAATAACAGTAATAACAAACGTGTAAACAAAAATATCGTGCATACACTTCTTAATAAATTAGTGTACAACAGGTGTTTCGGTTTTTTTTTTTTTTTTTTTATTTATTTATTTGTCATGAGAGCCGAAGCCCCCTGACTGCATACCCGGTACCTATCCTTATCAAAAATATTGTTGATTAAAAAAATTGCGGAACCTATGTCAACAATCAATTCCACAAACAGAATATTTCTATCTATTTAGGTTTTAAAAATACAGATTTCTTTCCATTATTTGTGAAATTGGTGCTTTTCACGTACAATAAATCAAATTTTGGAATATCTGCCATTTGGGCTAGGAGTGAGATATTCACCTCGGATTTGCGTCATTGTGTTTCTTTTGACAAACCCTTCAAAATGAGGGGTCACTCCATAGGGGTTGCTATTTGAAAAAAATAAGTCACCCCCTACCACCTACCCTGTTAGGGGGGTAAAAAAATATTTTTCATGTGAAAAATTGCGGAATCTTTGTTAACTATTATTGCCACAAATAGAATATTTCTATCTATTTCGGTTTTAAAAATACAGATTTGTTTCCATACTTAATTTACACACTGTATATTACCATTGACTAGATACTGAAGTTGTATTAATAGTCAAAGATATTACCTTTCTTGATCAAGGACAGCTTTAGGCAGTTCCTTTAATTTTATTACCCTCGAAAGATGAGCCAGATTATTTTTTAATTTAATGCTACTCAAGTCACATGTCCTTATCATAAATACTACAAGGGGATTTCTTTTAATAAACCATTATAATATTTACTTTAATATTTTCTTTGCGATTTGCAAAGATGTTTACAGGCTTGGTCAGTCAACCATGCTATGGCAGTCAAACTTCCATTTATGAATTTGGTTCTTTTGTTGTTTGCAATTACCTAAGAGATTCTAGGTTGTAGTTCTAAAACACGTTGTTATTCAGGAGGAGATCAAGGATTGCTGAATTTGTTCTTCAGTGATTGGCCGACAAAGGACATCAAGAAACATTTGCCGTTTGTTTACAACATGTGCTCAACAGCCACCTACTCTTATTTGCCTGCATTTAAACAGTGAGTAAAACAAATTCATGCATACACCTGAAAATTGAAATGAATGTCTAAAGTATATAAAAATGTTTTCTAGCCGGCAGGCCTATGTAGGTAGTAATTGATACTTTGTCCGTACAAACTGGTACCATTAATAAAGGCATACATTTTACCCACTCTAGTGGATCTAACAAATAAAAATAATACCCATCATGGGCTGGTTAAAATTAAATATATGAATATCCCAAAACATATAGTCAGCCTTAAGAGGATGGAATCCCAAGAAATAAATAACACCATTAATGCTGCATATTTAAGAACATGCTTTCTCAGCCTTTAAAGTCACTATCTAGCCCTGCATCCAATATGCTAATAAAGAAGGATTAAATGTCATTAACAATCAACAGCACCCATATTTTTTATCTATTTTACATTCTCAACCTCAAAACACTGCTTTCCAGGTTTGGTGCAGGGCTGAAGATTATTCACTTCATCGGTGCTGCGAAGCCTTGGCTTCAACCATTCAACACGGAGACAAGTCTAGTGAGCGTGTCAGGAGAGTCGAGACATCTCGTACAGTTTGTACAATTGTGGTGGGACATCTTCTGTGCTCACGTTCATCCCACACTGTCCACGGAAATGGTAAGCTTAACGCCCATGTATGATTCGTACACTCCAGTAAGAAAAGTTACTTTATTCCAAACCCAGCTATGCAGTGTTTTATATCTATTATGATTTTGCACGAATCGTTGCTTAACAGGGTTTGTGACTTTCAAAAACCACAATCATAAGTTTCTTAATGCTACAAAATTAAGATGAATATTTTAGATGGGTAAATCAACAATTTTTTATTTTTTATTGAGTTTTTGAAGCAACCTGATTAGAGGAATATGGTGGTTTTTTGTCCACTATTTCAATAAATGCTAAACAAAAATTTTTTACCATCAAGTCAGGTTAGAAGGAAATCTATTACAGGATAAATTAATTGTAATTTATTTATAAATCTTCATAACATTTGGCACATTTCTTTATATCATTGAACTCAGAAATTCAACAGTAAAGTCTATTTTAAAGCAAGATTTTAGCCCAATGGCAGCAAACTGAAGTAACAATTTAATTGAGTGAATGTAAATTATATTGGACAAGAATCTAAGAGTAAAATTCCTTATGATTAGGTAAAATTTTTTGTTTAACATATTAATTACGATAACTGAAGAATCACTTAGCCTGTAGACTTACTCTGACAGGGTATTGTTACTTTTAAGACTTTATTGCTTCTTGTTGAAACATATTCTTAACAATATGCCCCAATGGTTTACTAGCTTATTATTTAAGCTATGGATTTCTTTATAGTTTTATCATTTAACTTAAAACTTATTTGGACGGATCTCATTTAAATCGTCACCTTTGAATCCAAGTACCAATGCTAAATGATTCTCATTTGGAATGGAATTCAAATTGTCAAAGATGAATACTTGTAGCCCATTCCAATACAATGTAAAAACTGCATCTATAATAAAATATAATACTTTTCTTCTTGAGATCTCTTGAAACAAATTTCATAACACTGCATCATTACAAATTAGCTTCTTACTTTACTGTTATTTATTTTTACTTTTTACACTTATTTTTGTAACATTTATGCTTTTTGTGTTTTTAGGTATAAATGATAATGTTTATCAAGTTGCACGTTCTCCTTGTACTGCTTTCTAAACTAACAGTAATGAGTTCATAATCATTTTTGTAACACAAGTGCTGTTTTGTCTGTTCCTGTTGGTTGTTTTGTTTGTATCTAACTGTGTGAGCTCAACAGGACTGGAGCCATTGGTCATGTGAGTGTTAAGTGAAGATGGGTATGTACTCTGTTACTTACGTAAGTAGATTCATTGATTATAGAACACTTCAGTTCCTATAATCAATGGTAGAATAAACTAAATCATGCCCATTTAGGTTTACCACGCACGTAAACATTTAGCCTACATTTCAGGTTCCAGTTCTAGATTCTAGTAATACAATATCTTTTTATCAATATCTTGAGATAAACAAAATGTATTTGTATTTTTGTAATTATCACTTGAAACACTCATAAAAGCATCCAAGCATCCAAGAGTTTTTGTTTACTAAAAAAAAAATATTTAACTGAATCAAACAACAATCTGGAAAAACTTAAAAATGCAAAAAAAACAGACGATCACACAATTTTATAAAGCTTACAGTATTATTTTACTAACATGCCAATGTTGGCACATTAGTATCATGGAGATAGCGTACCTTGATTTAAATTAGCTATGCATTACTCACTGTATATCATTCGCTATTTCCAATATTAGATATGCAATACCTATATGGGGCTTCAACTTCATCATAAACTAAACAAATATTTAAATTACAAAAGTCTGCATTAAGAATTATTTTCCAATTGAAACCACGCCATTCCTGTAAAAAATTATTTAAAAATTACCAATTTATGAACTTTTACGCAATTTATATTTATGAAACATTACTATTTTTAAAGAAAAATTTTGAGAAATTCTGGAAAAATGATGAATTATGTAAGAAGAATTATGATTTGAGAAAATTACAAATTTTTCTTCTACTTTCCACCAAACAAAGTTTTATGAAAAACATCTTTATTACAACGGAAGAAAATTATTTAACAAACTACCAACTAATATTTAAAACTTAAAATTAAAAGATTACAAAAAAATAAAAAAAAATCCTTAATGAAAATCTAATCTACTTCAATGAAAAATGCATGAAAATTTAAAGTTTTTTATTTAATACTAAACCTAATTGTACTGTCGATACAATTTATATTGTAAAGACAATAAAGTATTTATTTATTTATTAGGATTATTATTATAGAGGATTATTTTAGAAAGTTTTTTGGATTAAGTAACGGATAAATCGTTGATAAATTGTTAAAAATTTGATTGTCAAGTATCGCTAAATTTGTTAATAAACATAAAATAAAGCACAGTAAAAGCCTGCATTTTATCACAATGCCCATCTAAAAATCCTTCTCTTAGGCTTCTTTAATACTAAAAGACACATCAGTATCCAATTTTCAATTACCGTACATCCTTTAATACTTATTGTAATTAATTCACTTCTGCTGCATTAAAATTGTTAAAACAGTTGACCTGACCCAAGTTTGTGGACTTTACTTTGTTCCGTTCAACTACAAACTGATTATTCATCATAAATATCATGAACATAGAAGTTAGCTCAAACTAACTAAAATTTGTCACATCTCTCAAATCCACAGTCATTCAACAGAATGTTAAGAACGGAATGTGAATGTGCTACATTCAGAAATTATTACGCCTTTTTATAGTTAGAGATAGTGAAGAGATAGTGCTGAAGACAATAACTGCTTTTGTAGTCTTTAGTCAAAGAATAGAGCAGAGCTGAGATATTGCATGACTTAGAGGGTTTAGAAACGCTTGGGTTTTGATCAAGCCAGGTGAGGTAGGGTGGTTTGGATGGTGTTGGATCACATCCTCGGTTATTTTCTCTTGGGAGCTTTACTCAATGTCAACTGTCCGAGCATGAATCGTCATCATGGGTCTTGAGCTTTGCGAATCATGAGATTCTCCGCTTTGCTCGTATACATATTACCGTTGAGCTGTGATCTTCTGTCCTAGTTCATGTCATATTCATGGGAACTTTCATGGCTAAGGTTGTCTTGTCTGGTCGCTAACAAGGGTTGTCGGGTTCTTCTGGTTCTATCGATGTTTGGGTTTTTCTCACTCAGTAATCTATCCTAATTTGATACAGACTTGGCATCGGCTCGAGACCAGCTTAGAGTTCTTCACAAGGCCTCCACCACCCTTGATATTGCTCTCGGAACAGTCTTATTTCAAACAAACACCTCCATCTCCTCCACCACCCGTTTTGTCGGATTATCAGGAACAAAACTACGGATATTCCGATCCGTGGGACGAATATGTAGAACAAAGTGACGAACCACCCAAAGACTCTTGTAGGAACTATAACAATGCTGTTGACAATTACCTGCTCTCTAACGACAGTAGTGAAATAAATTACAGTGACCATTTTACAAATTTTAATATCCAGTTTTCAAGTGAGCACAGGGTCAGTAGAGCTTCTGTTAGACCTCATTTAGACCATAATTCCGAAAGCAACAGTCACAATAATCGTGATAGTCATGTTCAACACTTGCACACACACAGTCACTCCCATTATCACCACACTCCTAGTCAACCACACACCTCAGAGCCCGGACTTTGGGAAGATTCTGCTCAATCTGAGTTTTACTCTGTTACTGATGGTGGTGGGAATGATCAAGATCACAGAACAACTTCAAGAAAAAACAGTTTTTCACAGCCCGAACAAAATCAAATTGTGCCGGAAATCAGAGTGGCTCCACCCTTAGTAGAACATTCATACCCGCATGAACCCCCAGCACAACCAATCCATGAACCCTCCCAGAGTGAATCTAGTTCAGTACACTGCCACACTCAGCAGCACTGTAGTCCTGCACAGTCCGACGATGAAGTAAGTAGCCACAACTGTAGCCTGTGTAAACAAAACAATACAAATCTTTTATTCTGTATCAGGGTAAGTAAACCCGTAGCAGATTACTTGAAGAAATATAATGATAAAATTAAAAGGACATAGCAAAGAATTTGAATTTTGTTTCAAGAAAAAATGTTTAATTAACTTATTTGCTGTTACGATGATATATTTAAATATGTATTACATGAAGTATGTTTGAAGAATTTTTCCAAGATGTATTTCATTCCAGTTTAAAAAGGCTTAGATAAACTAAACAAATCAATATCTGATTAATAAAACATTTTAGCTTGAAAAAAAAACTTATTGCAAGAGATGAGTAGAATGTTTAAAGTTTAATCTTTTTAAACACTTTACAGGCAGTGTAGATTTTAGAAAATAAAAATATTGTAATGTTATAGGCAAAATTACTTCCATTATAAATATTATAATACAATTTAAATTTTTGTTTCACTGAGTTATTCTTTTATGGCATCAAGCTTTTATAAAATTGTGCTGGTCGTCTGATTTTACCTAATGAAACTTGTTCTCTCAGGTACACATCTTAAACTATCTGAGTTCAAATGCAAGAATATTTGATTTTTTTACTTTTGCGACTTATAAGTTTCTGTTTTTTAGCTCATCTTAATTTTATTGTTATGTTCTCTACCATTAAAGGTTTATTACGGACATTTTCCATCACAATAATGGTAAAAACAATATACAACGTGTTGGGATCAGATTTCAGATCCCGAAACATCGTGAATTGTTTTTTACCATTGTTATGGAAAATGTCCACAATAAACCTTTAAACAAAATTAACTCACCATCACCAACAATGAACATCAAACAAAGAATATTCTACTTATGGTGCTTCAAATTAAATACAAAGAAATACATTAGATCGGTAGCTATTACTTTTTTTTACATTAAAAATTGATAAATATGGTTTTTGAAATTCAAAACCTTCACTTCTACACAGGGCTAAATAAAATATATGTTTTAGTCGTTAAAAATTCATTGATATATTTTCACACGCTTATATATTCAAAGGCCAGTAATGACATTTTTGATGATTCTTTGTTTTGGCTGTCACTGAAAACTAGGTACCTATTCTAAAATGATGTTCAATGCTACAAATAAACAAATTATGTTTACTTCTCTAAAATGACAAACAACTAGGACTAAGAAAATAATAGAAATGGAAACAAAAAGCTTCTCAACTTAATTGTGAGAAATTTTAATTTTTTAATCAGTTAAATGAGGTTATTGCATGTTTGTTGGTCCAGTAAACCAATCAGAGTTCTTGAAGATTGTTTTGTTGGCAGGCGGGATTAGCAGGCGCCCTAGCCACAGTCACTCTGGGCGCTCCTCTGACTGTTGAACAAAGGGCTTTAGAGGAACATCTCAGGAGACAAGGCTGGGAGCAGGGCAACATAGATTACATGGGCAAGGATTCCTTTGACAACATCTGGCAAAAGATCTGTCAAACTTTGGGAACCACAGCTCCCACACCGTCCTCAGAAGCCCCTGCTCCAGTCGCTCCTGTTGCAGCGCCAGTTTATGTATCTTCGGTCGAGATCTCGCCCTCCGGTCAGATTGATAAGACCCCACCACAAGCCAACTATGCCCCTGTAAGTGCCCTAGTAGCGACTGTTGAAGCTTCTGATACTAAGGATGCTACTAAAGCGCCCCAGTCAGAAACTCCAACAGTTGCAAGTGAACCAAAACCTTCGGTTACAGAAGTAGTATCAACGGTTAGCGTTACTTCATCAGCAGCAACAACACCACCACAAGTCGCCAGTGAAGCTCCTGCATCCACGGCAGTAGCGCCTGCAGAGAAGACTGAGACACAACCTGCGCCTCTCACAATTCCTTCTGCTCCAAAAGAAGCAACAGTAACAAGCCCAGTCCCTCCTCCAGTTACTCCAACTATGGTACCAGTCCCGACAGATGTTTCAACTGCAATCACTCCCGCCTCAACAGCTCCAGCTTCAACAACTACAACTCCAACCGCAACTACTCCTGCAACAATTTCTCCAACTCCACCAACACCGGTCCCAACCGCTCCATCCCAAACTGAACCCCTAACTCCATCAACTCCAGCCCCAACAACTCCAACCCTAACACCAACAGCTCCAACACCAATAACCCCTACACCAACACCAACAACTCCAATCCCAACACCAACAGCTCCAACACCATCAACCCCTACACCAACACCAACAACTCCTACCCCAACTCCAACAACTCCTGCCACAACTACTCCTACTCCAACACTTCCAGCCCAAGTTGAACCACTACCTCTAACAAATCCAGCCCCTACAACTCCAGCTCCAACGCCTACAACTCCCACCACAACTACTCCAACTCCAGCAACTATAGTCCCAACAACCCCAGCCCCAACTGAACCTCCAGCTCCGACACCTTCAGCCCCAACTACTCCAACTCCGGCTCCAACAACTCCAGCTCCGACACCTTCAGCCCCAACTACTCCAACTCCGGCTCCAACAACTCCAGCTCCGACACCTTCAGCCCCGACTACTCCAACTCCGGCTCCAACAACTCCAGCTCCGACACCTTCAGCCCCAACTACTCCAACTCCGGCTCCAACAACTCCAGCTCCGACACCTTCAGCCCCAACTACTCCAACTCCGGCTCCAACAACTCCAGCTCCGACACCTTCAGCCCCAACTACTCCAACTCCGGCTCCAACAACTCCAGCTCCCACACCTTCAGCCCCAACTACTCCAACTCCGGCTCCAACAACTCCAGCTCCAACACCAACAACTCCAGCCATATCTACTCCAACTCCAGCTGTAACAATCCCAGCCCCAGAAGTTCCTGCACCAGCCCCTGCAGAAGTTCCTGTGCCAGCAGTTGTAAAAGTTCCTGCACCAGCCATTGCAGAAGTTTCTGCCCCAACTCCTGCAGAAGTGCCTGTGCCAGCCCCTGCAGAAGTGCCTGCACCAGCTCTTGCAGAAGTGCCTGCGCCAGCCCCACCAACTCCTACAGCACAGCCTCAAACCCCAACAGTGACAGAGCCTACCCCTCCCACATCACCTCCAATAGCTACTGAAGCCCCTCAACTAGCCAAGTTACAAGTTGAGCCCGAAGTGCCTGCTACACCCCCTGCAGGAGCCTCTGCTCAACCTAGCCTTGAAGGGGCAGTAGCAGAAGAACCCCCAGTACCACCGAAGAGAAAAGGAGGAAAGGGACAGCAAGACTCTAAAAATCAAAAGGGAGGAAAACCATCTAAAGGGAAAAAGTAATAGCTTTAATTCTGCTTTCAATGTAACACTAAATTTCAATTCAGTTACATAAAATTGTGTTTGTTACTGAATTACACAACCTAATTCTTAATTAATGTTATCAATGTTTTAAACTTTTTTGTTACAAGTCATTAATTAATTCATATTAACAAAATGCTTTCCTCATAAGGAAAGTGTGAAACTATCTAGTCATTATGTGTTAGGGTGTAGGAGTGTTAACTGTTCTTAGGTGCCAAAAAGAGTTTCACGCTGCTTATGTTCGCTGTTAACCAAAATAATAATCTCTTGAGTTTAACAGAGTGAGACAGTGTATTGAATAGCTCATGATATTATTTGTCAAACAAACACATATTATAATGGTTTCTTTTTCATTTGTATTTACTTACAAAGTAACTGAGATGATTCAAGAAAAATATTGTTTTAATTGTGTATAATTAGTTTTTGTTTTTTATTGATTAATGTACACAAAATATTATACTTTAGTTTTGATAAATATTTTGAGAATATAGATTTTGTTAAAACATTAAAATAAAACTGTATAAACTGAGAAAAAGAGCTTTTTTAATGGATCAATCTTTATTTTCACGTTGTATTTTCATGTAAATAATCCACAGAAATATTTTTTTGAAGGAAGAAATAAAGGAATATAATATTAAAAGTGTTGCAGAGCAGCTCTACTACTACTGCTACCTACTACGAATACTTGCAGCAGAGCTGGTAGTCCCTTCTTCTTGGGACATTGTAAAATATTTAAAGTTAGAAGGTAAAGTAGGAAGATGTAGATTAATGAATGTCTAACGGGCGAGCATGTACACGAGCCTGTTGGCGGACATGCTCGGTATTTCCAACAGACGTACGAGCATGCTCGCGAACTTGCTTGCCGCCACCACACAGTACTAATGCTTCTCTCGTGCTGAGACAGTCCGACAAGCCGAGAGCTGAGTCCAACATGCTCGCCAGTATGAAGGCTCACAGACCCCACAAACGGGCGAGCATATTTGCCGCCAACACCGTCACGAACATGCTCGCGAACATGTTTGCCTGTGTATGGGGGGCTTTAAATGCTGTAATAATGAAGTTAAACTAAATAAGTTATAAATAATATATAAGTTACAAGTTATAAATGAAGTTAAATTAGTGTAAATAAGCTTTAAAAACATCGTTTTTTGCTTGGCAGCCATCAGTCAGTGCAAAACAATGTATGATTACAGAGCATTCTTTTAAACCTGCACTTAAAAGTAGAAATGGAAATATGGATAAGTCAAAACTATTGACCCTATCTAGATTGGCAAGGATGACCCAGGATGAGCTAATTTATAAAACATGTAGCGTCTTTTTAGATATTTCTAAAAAGTAGCTTTGTATATCTAAAACCAGGCAAATTATTTGGCTCTAGCTGGCTACACAAAATTTGTGGTTGAATTGAAAGAGAATCATCACATCTCCATGTCATATATTCCACGTTACTATTTGTATTATGAAACACTACCTAACTGAAAAAAATATTAACTTGATCAAAGAGCCAAATTTATCACATTGCAACCGCACAAGGCTCCCGTGACACACATTTATCTGTGCCCAGTGACACTAGCGCCAGACGCACTACACAGGTCTGCGCCTTTACCCGACTCGTATTTCATTGCTTCAGTAATCGCTCAGCATTTACGGGTGAGGCTTGTATCACTTACGAAGGGCAGTTTCCGCCATTTCATTACATGTTCACCGCGCCCTAATCCGTCGGCTGTTACGGAATTTATGATTTTGTTTCATTGTGTGTATCTACAGGGCCTGATTAAGGGTCTAGTCGCCAGTAGGCTGACGTTTTTCGCGCCCCCTCCTCCCTTCCACTACCCCTCCTCTCAGCTACCACTTTCAAAATTTCAAAGAAAGAATACTAATACTGAATTCAAAATTAAAAATGGCCAAAGGCCACTACTACTACTAATACTAATATACTACTACTAATATTCTATCTGAATATATATACTAACAGTTTATTTTAAAACAAAAGAAAACTGGTCATAAATAATTAATGCATGGTTTGATTAGGAACTTTTAAAATAGTGACAAATCGGTTGTTCAAGGAATGTAAAACTTTCTTATTTAAAATAATGTATTTATTTTACATTTTATTAAACATATGATTGTATTAAATCAAAAGTAGACCTAACCTAAAATATTAAAAAACCAAACAATAATATGCGAACTTTCTAAATTAACTCAGTTAATCACCTAGACCAATTTTATTAGGACCTTTAGATGGAATTACTTAGTTTACAGCACTTATCTGTATTTATCTGTAACAAAAAGTATCGTTAAATGTTTTTACAAATAAATTATTACTATAAACTAGCTGTAACCCACGAGCTTCACCCTGTTTGACTTCATAAGTATTAATAAAACTATTGATTGGTTAAGTTAAGCTGAAATAAGCAAATAAGTACAGCTGAGGTATTTTTAACATTAGGTATATGGAAGGTTCCCTTTAGAAAGGAATTATGACCTTAAAGGGCAATTTATGAAATAATGGATAGTTTTGCGCAAGGTTTTCGTCATTACGAATATTTTAAGTATATGGTTATGGGGGTGTGACTTGTAGTTTTCTCAAAAGTTCATGGGTACTTTGGGCTTTATATAAGGATATAATGATAATGAAAATCTGCCGAACTCACCCTTCCCCACCTCCTTCCCTATCTGCGCGAATCCTTTTTTGGAATAAAACATTTTTTACGCCCCCTGTCCCAACTTTAAGTCTTAGCTCTCTGGCGCCCCCCTAAAACACTTGGCTGACTGGCGCCCTAGGCTCCAGCCTAATTAGCCTAATGGGTAATCAGGCCCTGTGTATCTAGCATATTTGGAACGCAATTATATGCATTTTCAGCAGTCAACGTGTTAAGGGTGTTCCGATGTCAAATAACCTGGCATGTAGCATCAATCAATAATTGGTCATTCGTGGGCCTCAATCATGCAGCAATTGGAAGCTAAATCAAATCTTCAGGAGAAAAATTCATTTATGGAAATCTCCAGTTCTCTGTGTGTGTTAAAAAATAAATAAAATAAAAGCGTTACTATAAGGATAATAGGTGTTACAACGATCCAAAGAACTCTAAGGTATGTTTATTGACAACATTTTTCTATCTTATAACTTTTTTGTGTTCACAACAGAAACTATGTTTTTCATTAGAATAAGTTGTAAAAATATGTTTGTGCCACACTACACACTAAATATAAACTATTAAAAAGCAGTCCATAAGAAAAGGGTACAAATGATCGTTAAATTATGTTTGTTATTATTGAATCACTTGTTCATAAAGAAGCCACTCTAAAAGACAAAAGAATGTAAATACGGTAGTTGAATTGTATGTTTGTATCTTGTACTTTGTGCCATGCAAGTTAAGCTAACAATGACATGACATTGTAATAATCACTTATAAAACACCCCTATTACAAAAAAATATCACATTATAAATTTACATACATGAAAATATTAACTAGCCTACACATTATTTGTTATTTCAAAAGATAAGGACAGAAGAACAAACTTAAAGGCAAAATGACAGTCTATGTACACCCATATGTACGGAAATAACCCTCCAAAACTGTGTTAATGGGATTACGGTACTTGTTAAAATTGAATTACTTATTAGACTTACAAGCTTCTAAATCAATCTGTATATATCCACTGATGACACCCATTCTTTCAAGAGCCTCTTTGTAGCATTTAGACATTTCAATCTCTAGAACTATTAAGTGGCCATTCATTTGTTCATTATAGGTTTTGAACTGATTAAAAAGAGGATCAAACTGTTTTGCAATAAATTCTACTTGCGTAATCACACACATCAATCGATCCCAAGATGGTAATGGATACTCATCAGCACAATTATCTATCAAAACTGTCAGATTTGTTGAGAAGTTTTCTAAACTTTTTATTATAAAGTTAAACTGATTTATGTTTTCTTCCATTTTTTGTCCTGAATGAGACATTTTTGCACATATTGCCACTGCTATATTTAATTCTTCAACGTTGTACAAAACATCGTCTATGATAGCTTCTAGACATGATGATTCATAGCCTGATGAGTTTGTTGGCATTTCATTTGCGTACGTTTCATTTGCAGCCATCGATAATTTTTTCACGGAGTTTAGATAGTTTGTTGTAACTGAGTCGGAATAACTTTTTTGAAGATCTTGAAGATCGTTCTTGATGAAGTTAAGATCTAATGTGGCAGCTTGCTGGATCTCATTTATTGCTGCGTCTGTCGTGGTGGGGGAAGACTGAAAAATATACGACACGCCTTAGTCAAAAGCTTCACAACTGGATCTCTTGAAAACAATAACCTATGTAAACAACAATAGACCTCGATAATAAGACTCATACATAATAGTAAAACTCCCATTACACCCCCCCATGTAGCACAGATGGTTGGGCCAACGTTGGTAAATTGTGGAGCCACACAGTTGGCCAACGGTAGAAATGTCACCTCTTTAAACTGTTTTCCAGCCAACCTTTGTCCAACAATGGCCCAACCAAAATTATTTCACACAAAATAATAAAGATTTAGTACGAAAAGCATAATTATTAGTTGAGTAAATTGATTAAATAGTTCAAAAAAACAAATTTTGAAAAAAAGCTGGAACAAAATTTTTTGGCCCAGACGGGTCTCGAACCCGGGTCCTTCGACTTATGAGCCTCTTACCTTACCACTGAGCTATCTGTGATTGTTGATACAGAGAGTTTTCAAGTGGTGAAAGAGTAGCCGACAGTTGCAATGGTCGCAATACTTCAAACATTTTTGATACTACACAGTATAATATGATTCTGTTAATCTGTTAAGGCATCATAAGTAGTTATTTTTTTTTTTGAGTTAGAGAGGATACTGGTATTTGAATATAGATTAATTAATTACCGTTAGATTATTAATGCTATTATAATTGACTGTTATATGATTAATTACTCTTTCCCCTTAAATTGTTGCAAATAAGTTAAAGAATAGTAATTTAAAAAATATTTGCATTATTATAATTATTAAAATTCATTGTTGTAGCCCCGGAACTGTAATATATAAAATATCTGGTTTTACAATACCTTTATCAGTTCCAAAAACTTTTGGAAACTTTTGGAACTGATAAAGGTATTGTAAAACCAGATATTTTATTATAATTATGTTGTGAAAGCTAGACCCAGAGAATGAAAGTCGTGTAAACTTAACTATGGACCATCGTTGGTCCAACAAAAGTATCTTTTGTTGGTCCAACGGAGTGAAAAACGGTTGGACAACGGTTGGCTTGATGTATGATACCCAACAATGCATATTAATGTATTTCATTAACAATGAACCGATGTTGGTCCACAGTTGTAAATATTGGTTGGCCCAACTACGAGATATACAGTTGGACAACGGTTGGTTGGTTGTGGAAGCTCCAACCAACCATCGACCAACTGTCCCACAGTTGGCCAACGTTGGCCCAACCATCTGTGCTACATGGGCCATTACTCCCATTATCCCTTAGGTGAGTCAAACCATGTACTGGTTTTCCAAAACAAACAAAAACTTTGTGTTGATGACTTTCCTTTCCCATGAATTCATTATGTGATTTTAAAGTAACTTTGTTAAAACCAGAAATTAACTGTGAAATGTATAGGCCTACATAGTAACTTCAATGTTTAAAACAGGTTTAGAATTGGGTTTTTCTGTGTTCATATAGGTAAATTTTTGTTTGAGGAGAAACAATTTTTCACACCTTTTCCCATTAACTTCCAACTGAATCATTCAACGTTTATCATAGGTAAGCCTCTTTATTGTTGGAAATTAAAAACTTGAATGCCCAATAAATAACGAAAATAGGTACTAAAACAACTTTGAATTTTACAGAGGATCAATAATATGGTGCAATTATTGAAGCATGCAGCAGGTACCTATTGGTTTCCTGCAGGTTGTCCCTGCATAGACACTATACAGGGTAGTCGAGTAAGGGGTATAGAAGATACTTTTTCGTCATACTGCAGCAAAAACAGCCGCTTTTAATACATGCATTGTTGGTCTGAAGTAACTATTTTACTCCCTAGGGCCTAGGGAGTAAAACGGTTTTTAGTCCCTAGGGAGTAAAAGTCTGCTGTTGTAATCAGTTGTTAAATTTGATTGTAAGCAATCCCTCCCAGGTATCAGAATTATTTATCGATTTATTAATCGGTTGTAGGTTATTGTTGCATTCATGTCAGTAGTTTGATACAGTAACACAGTCGAAATAGCCAAAATTATTGAATTAACTTACTAAACAGCTGCTTATTTTTGCATTAGCAAAACTGAAAACAAGTTGTTTTGAGGCGGTATATTTACATGAAAAGTTTATTTCTTTAATAACTTGTTTTGTTAATAAATGTTGCAATATGACAAAGAACATAGTTCATCAAGTTTGTTCGCCGGGCCCCCTCTCCCAATAATCTTTAAAAACATTATCACATGTATTACCGCCTAAACTTGCACTTTAGCTGGGCAAGGCATCTCCCGAGGCATCATCGTTGTCTTCCATGATCGCGGCAACATCGTGAATACTTCCCGTAGTTATGGAAGAAACATTCTTATCTACCGTGATTTCAACCAAACCTAGGACATCACCAGATAACAACATCATCGTCTCCCGTGTTTAAGTCCCTAATATATCTCACGACCCGTGGTGACGGGGAAATCATTTTTCTGCAATCCCGAAAAATCCTACATATATCTCTCGCGGGAAAAGAAATGTCATTATCGTCTTCCGCAATCGCAGCAAAATATTGAACATCTCCTGTGGCCACGGAAACATAGTCATCGTCACTCGCGGAGAAATGTTCTTGTCGATATCCGCGATTGCGGCAAAAGTGTAGGCTCTTTCAATTTTGTGGGCGTGATCCACGCGGACATATAAAAGCTTTTACTTTTAATTGGGCATTATTGTATTGGGTTCTGAGAAATCGGTTCGAGCATGATTTTCTAATTCTGTGCTTGATCTCTCAATTAAGCTTGTAGGCCAGGCTCTGCTCAGCTCGAAAGTTATTTTATAAAAATCAATAGTTTCCAAAGTAAACCGATTTTAAACTGATCTGATTTGGCCCGAGGCTCATATGTATGTTTAATTTTTTACCTGACTAAGTAAACGAACCTTAAGTGCAGCATCCTAATAGTAAGAAATTAAATGCCATTAAAAACCATATTTAGCATCAATGAAAGAATGGAATTATTTATTAGCTAGTGCCCTAGCTACCTAGGTTGATTTGCCGATTTGATAAAAAAAAATTGTTATCTTCATTTTTTTTAAATCATTATAGAGAGCTCTGGTGTGACCCGCCAGGGGCTAGGAGGATTAACATTAATGTTTTAGGCCGGGGGCCACATTGGTTCTAAATATGGTCCTATTATAACCTTCACACACTCCACGAGGGCAGTTGATGCAACCTGCATGACTGAGGACAATTCTTTAACTGAGGTTTGTAGAGAATTTTAATCGATCGGTCAAGTAATAGTGAAGAATTGAATTGGGCTGTACAATTGAATGAGCTTGTGAACCAGCAAGTTTGGGACATGAAAACGGAGTGTTATGGCTTTTGAAAATGTTCAAAAAAACATTTGTTGAATCTATACCTTATAAACAATATAAAAATGGCAAATTTGCATTGTAAAAATCGTAGAACTTTAACAAACTGTTGTATATTAAAGGGTTATTATAGGATTAAAGGTTACTGAAATATTGTACCGGTACATTTCAAATCACAAGGTTTTTTTTTTTAGAAAAAGTCAACCGTTTTATTTTATTTTTTTTAACGTGTACTTTGCTTACCCAACCGGCCCTGCAGTCAACTTCAAATTGGGACATTGTTAAAATAAATTTAAAATGTATTCATGGGTGCATTATTTATTTCTTATTTGTTAATTCTTGTTTGTACAGAGAAATGGAAAACAACATTTCTATATAAATAAATGTCAGGTGTCCAGGGCCAAGCTCTGAGTAATAACTCTTTTCCATGGGGGTTTGTTTCTTTTATTATAATTGCTTAAACCCCTTTAAGTGCCTGCCTGCACTATACAGTTATGATATTAGAAAATTGGTATGTGCATTTGGCAGTATAAGTTCGGATTAATTTATTTTATAATAATGATACTTTAATTATTTCAAACACTTTACCATTGAGGATGCAATAATAGCAGCCAGTAGATGAGTATAGATCCACACCTCCATCGCTGCACCTCTCATGATAAAGACATAAGTAATTGATTCTCTTATCAGGAAACCTTTTATGACAATTTCAAGTATTTGAGTAATTTAGTATCGGAGGTTTGTCCAAATGGCAATGCAATATGCCTCTATGAGTCATTTAAACCTACAATGAAATTTGTCAGGTATAATTTGAGCGTAGAACATGGACTTCTGTTGCCATTTGGCCTGTTGAATAAGAAATGTAAAATCCATAATATTTTGCCACATGAACAACATTTTGCATACACTGACTTACACAGAAGAAGAATAACTCAATAATTTTGTTTGTTGATGTTGGACCTAGTTAACAGAAACCGCTGTGTGCCGAGACAACCACACTTAAGGCACATCATTTTTCTTAAAAAATTAGATTGTTTGAGAATTAATGTTGTCCTACACTTACAACGGCATAGGGTATGTGTTGTTAATATTCACAATAATTAGCAAAGCTTATTGATCTGTTCGCTTCTATATTTCAATAAATTGCATCAGCAATCTGACACATATACTTTCTCTCCCATTAGTTTGTCAACAACCTTTACAATACCAGCTGTGGGAGTAACTAACTTATGTTTTTTCATAGGGAAAACAACAAAGTTTAAATAACTTTTGAACAGTAATTTTTACAGCAATGTTTAGAGTTAAAAGGGCTACCGGTATAACATTATTAAATTCTAATTTTCTCGTATTTTAAAAGAGTTTATGAGAAAATAACCATTAAGGATCAAAATGAAAAAATGCTTGGAGATACAATGAATTAGTTTTACCAAATATAATCAAAATCGAACCACATGTGTTGTATGTAGCTCTGTATACATCCACATACATAATACATACACACACACTCACAGACATAGCTTTGAAAACCAATTTTTTGGGTTCAGGAGGACCAAAAACAAAATATATCCACCCAAAATGCAAACTCAAAAATGTATATAAAAACACTTTGTCTATTTACCTAGTCTACTATGTAGATAAAGAGGAAGGAAACAATGTTTAATTGAAAAAAAGAACACTATACATTTATGATTTAAACAAAAAAAAACTTTTTCATTACACTGTCTCAAAAACAGCTGTCTTACGGATTGTTTTGAGTCCCTGAAGATAGCTTTTTGCGTGAATCATATGTTTATGTCAAAGCTTATCTCAAAAACAAATCAGCTGTTCTGATCCTTTAAAATGCTTCAACAATAATATAAACAAACTTTGTTTCTTACATAACCTAATTCATTCAGTGTTACTGTATTTTGTATTTTCTGCTATATATGACAATGTAATGAAAAATATTGTTCGTAACTCGTCCTAAAATGCTTTTTTGTGACTTAATTGAATTTCCGGACTCGGCAAAGCCGAAACACAATATCGTCCCAAAAAAACCTACTTTAGGGATTAGTAACAAAAAACTACTATTACAGACTTAAAGGGTAAACAAAGCTGGCTATTTTTTCTCTCCATTGTTAATACTGTTAATACTGTTAATACTGTTCGATGAAATGGCGACCATACATAACTGAGTCATCTGGTAACAGAGGTTCCTTGAGAAAAGAAAGGTACAAAAATGGATAGAATGTGATACAGGTTGAAGGAAAGGTGTGTAAAAATGAATCAAACTCCCAATTTTGTTGAGCAATACGACAAATATCTCAAACCACCAACTTCACCAATAGATGCTTCACAGAAAGTTCACCCAGTGGCAGTTCCAAGAGGATGGGGCTCCAGGGGCTAAAGCCTCCCCATTTGGAACCTGGAAAAATAAATTTAAGCATACATATCGTCATAAAAACGTTATTTATTTTTTTTAAGGCAAAAGTCATTTTAACAATCAATTTCATGCATAGGAATTTGTGGATACAGTAATAGTAAGGTGCAACTCATTTGTTTGTTTAAGAGGGTTTGCGAAGAAATTTTACAAATTTTAGAAGTAGAGCGATTTTAAAGGTGAAGGAGTGGGATTTTCGGAAAACGCTCAAGAGTGTTTTTTGGAAATTTAATTACTGACAATAAAAATTCTTTCAAATATTTGCTAGCTTTTACCGTTTTTGAGCTAAAGCCGTTTAAAAAAACAGGGTTTCCTCAAAAAAGGGGTTAAAATGATAACTTTGAATTTCCATAATTGTTATTAGGATTGACATAGAGACCTCTAGTTTTAATAAATAATCTATATCCATAATACCCTCGCCACAGCAAACCTGCAGACTAAGCAAATTTAAACTTGTCTGATTACATTTTTCCTCAAATATTTCCATAAATAAGACATATTTATTCCCAATTTAAATAACAATAGATTTAACGAGTGCTTAGGTTTGCTGCTATGGGGAAGGTAAAAAGTCTTTTTTGACCATACGTCAATATTATAGGATGAAATAAATAAATAAACAATTAAACTACAACAGTTTTAATTTTATTCGTAAGAATAACATAAGAATTTTAAATTACACTATTTTTGAATTTTCTCCGTGACCGTTAGGCATACAACAGCGCTTAAATATACTAAATTATTTCTTTTTTAAGCTCTACAACACGGTTGAAAAATAAATTGCAAAATTTTTGTTTTTACCCAAGTAGCAAAAACACAAAAAAAATTGTTTTGATATAAATTTTAAACTTATACTAAAACTGTTATTATATGAGTATAGTTGACAACTCGCACTGGCACATTTTGAAATAGTTCAAAAATGGTTTTACAACTATATTGCAACAACTTTACAACAATTTTACAACAGTTTAAAAATTGTTTTCACATTGGACTAACCATCCCATGGATAAACAAAAAAATAATAATGATTTTGCATGAAATGTATATATATTTATCAGTTGAGTATTTTGATTAAATAGTTAATAAAACAAATTATGATAAAAAAACAAGAATAAAAATATATCTCCCCCAACAGGTCTTGAACCTGAGACCCACAAACAACAAACATAAACAAAAAATAATAATGATTTTGCACGAAATGCATATATATTTATCAGTTGAGTATTTTGATTAAATAGTTAATAAAACAAATTATGATAAAAAAACAAGAATATAAATATATCTCCCCCAACAGGTCTTGAACCTGAGACCCACAGTTTATGAACCTGTTACCTTACCAAGCTAACTGTGACTGTTAATATTAAACGTTTTCAATGGGCTATACAGGATCTAGTCTGGGCGTCAACCCATTGTAATTAACATGACCTGGAAATTTGGGTAGACATAGGTTTTTTGACTGATTAAGACTCAGCTTTTTACGCTGATTACGAATATGCCACCTTGGCACCCTTGGGAAAACGCTGCTATATTGGAAATATGGCGGCTAAAACTGGTTTTTTGATAGTTTTAGAGATATATATGTGGAGACATAAAATGTAGAGCGTACAAATCTACACAGAAATGATCTCTACACTATTGTTTGTAAACCTCATGGTTTGAACAATTTTGTGAAATTGTACAAACAGTTCGTGCTGCCAAGTATCTTAGTGTCATTGTCAACACTAAGCTGAGCTGGTGGGACCAGATATTCCATATGGCAGACAAGGTCGCTAAGGTGATTTCTTCCCTTAGCCGGTTAATGGCCAATGTCGGAGGTCCAGGTACAGGCAAAGAAGGCTGTTGATGTCTGCAGTCCAGTCCGTACTCCACTACAGTGCGGAAGTGTTGGCAGACACGCTCTATGAGGAGGGGTATTGTATGCGACTTACCCGTGTGCTGTGTCAGGCAGAACTCAGGGTAGCATTTGCCTACTAAACAGTGTCCAAACCCACCATCTTGGTGGTCGCTAGAGTAATCCCCAACCAATTTTTGGCGGTGGAAATGAAAGCAATTTATCAGCAATGTGGGGAGGACCATCCAAGCACAGAGGAGTGCACCTGAACCTATCAGCTCTCGCAGGAGAGCTGGGAACATGAGACACGGAGACGCTGGACCAGTAGACTGATTCAACAAGTTCCAACTATGGTTTGATTGGTGAAACGGTGAGGTGGATCAATATACCTCACCCAGTTTCTGACGGGTCACGGTTTTTTCCGGTCATACCTGCTCATCATATCACCCGATTGCATCTACTGCCTGGGCACTCCCGATGTGGAGCACACTTTCTTCCGCTGCCCGTGGTTGGGAAGGGCCCCGCCTGGAGACTCAACAACTTGTAAGACAGTTGTTGGACACGGTCATCCCGATGGTGACGGATGGTGACGACAATTATGGACATGTGTGTCACATTTTGTCCAGGTTATTATCCGCGCAATGAAGCTTGACCTGACCATGATGCAGTCTAGGTCAATGGAATTGAATGTCAGAAACGGCACAAGCCCTGAGGGCCTTATATCTTTACCATGGCCTGCCAAAGCTGGGTACGGTCCTGTGTCCAACATAGTGTTGTAGGGGGGTTTTGTTTTATTGAGTAGTCTTATTATAATCTCAGGAGTCTCACCCTACAGGCTAACCAACTGTGTGCGTAAAAGCATTTTTATCTCCTCCCCCTTATAAAAATAAATATAGTAGGTTAAAAGATCACCAACTGTAGTTAATTAATAGATTAATTATGTGTAGATAACAAGTTAAGTAAACATAAAATGTTACTTAAGTTTGGTAGTTAATAGCAAATATCTCCATCATTCACCGGAAGACTTCGAAAAATGAATCAACCTAAACAGTCTTTTTCAAGGCTATTAGTAACAATCTCAATTGATATCGAGGGATTGTCGAGAGACAAAGAAGTATTACTGTCTGATATGCATGTGCAAGACGTACGAATGCGACTTCCTCCTTGTGCAAGAAACACACCGGGGCATTTTAAAACCTAGACCCAACATATAGAGGGAATGAGACTGATTCTAGAGAGACCTCATGATCAATATGGTAGCGCTGTTTTTGCCAGGCCATACATTGACATCACCTCAGCTTCGCTGACTTGAGAGGAACAATATTGAGATACTAACGGTCAGGACACCACAGTACAGCGTCACCTCTTTGTATAAGCCTCCCGAATCTCAGTATGTATTTACAGAGCCCGAATATCTATGCTATGATGACATTAATTTTGTCTTGGGGGATTTTAATTGTCAGAGAATTGCTTGGGGATTTGAAGAGACAAGTGAAAATTAGACAAAACTTGAAACCTGGGCTGAGGCAAATGACCTGCAGCTCATACACGATCCTAAGCTCCCTTGTTCCTTTAACAGCGGTAGATGGAAGAGAGAACCCTAACAACATCTTTGTGAGCAGCAGGATTACCTCACAGTGTGAAAAGTCTGTAGGTGATCCGATTCCCCGAACTCAACACAGACCTATAGTATGCACCGTTAGTGCTGTTGTTAAACCTGAAGTTGTCCCTCTAAGACGGAGGTTTAATTTCAAAAAGGCCAACTAGACAGGTTTTCGGGAGATCATTGACAGAGAAATCGCCAATATCCCTCCACAACCTGATATGTATGACTCCTTCATCAAGCTTATCCAGCAGGTTTTGAGAAAAATTATACCGTACCTAGAGGCTGTCGAACCCATAACATCGCTGGACTCTCTGAAGAGGCAAAGCACTGCTAGAACGATACCAAGGTCTCTTTGACAATGATCCCTTTGCTGAGGACACACTTCTAGCAGGAAGAGCATTATGTCAGTCATTGCCGAAAATCGCAAAACTAAGTGGTGTGATCTTGTGGAGAGTTTAGATATGCAGGGGAACAGCAGACGGGCCTGGAAGTTCCTCAAGAACATAAATGGAGATGCGACAAAACCAAAAGACAACTTTACAACGCAGTTACTGCCGATCAAATCGCTACCAACCTTCTTTTAAATGGCAAAACCTATGGAAGAAAATACCGGGAGCCTGTTGTGCGTGATGTGAAGTGAGAATCACTTCCTGGAAGAACCATTCACCATGTCCGACCAATGCTATAACTGCAGTCATTACCAGCTTAAAGACTAATAGAGCTCTGAGCTCCAGGTATTGATGAGATCAGAGTCGAACAGCTAAAGAACTTATAGGTAAAAATGCTAAGCAATGGTTGTTAAGCCTCATGAACAAGCCAAATGCATATACCCAAGGCATGGAGAAAAGCTCGTGTGGCTGCACTGCTCAAACCTGGGAAAGATCGAAACGATACTAAGAACTTTCGACCTATTTCTCTCTTATGCCACACATATAAAATCTTAGAACGTCTGATACTCAATTGAATCGGCGATTTTCTGGAACAAAAGATCATTCCACAACAGGCAGGCTTTCGATCAGGCAAGTCTTGTTGTGGCCAAGTTTTAAACCTGACCCAGCACAATGAGGATGGGTTTGAGAGAAAACAGATCACGGGTGTCGCTTTTGTAGATTTAACAGCTGCCTACGATACCGTAAACCATCGGACTCTTGGGAAAAGTGTACAGCATTACCAAAGACTATCAGCTAACTTCAATGATAGGCACTTTTCTTCATAACAGGTGGTTTTTCGTGTCCCTTCAAGGAAAGAAAAGTAGATTGAGGAATTAAAGAAATGGATTGCCTCAGGGTAGCGTCTTAGCCCCAGCTCTTTATAACATATACACTAACGACCAACCCTTGCCAAACGCTACATGTCAGTATATATGCCGATGATACGGCGGTGCCGGCACAAGGTAGGAGTTTTGAAGAGGTGGAACAGAAGCTGACTATGACTCTAAATGAACTTTCCCAGTACTATCACGCAAATCACCTCAAGCCGAACCCTGCTAAGACCCAAGTTTGTGCCTTCCACCTTTGACTATTAATACAACAACTATACAACAACTAGACATTCCATTCCCGTGTTAAAGTTGTAGCCTGATTTTAAATAAAATTTGTCTTAGTTGATGTGAGCCACCTACAGATTGCGCTGATCTAAATTACTGATTTCTGCAGATTACACGATGGTTTTTACCAAGTAAAACCGATGGAATGACTTATTATGAGCTATAACAACTGTTGTGACCCAGCAACTATGTCAGTAACAAAAATAAGGTACAAAATAGAGTTTTAGACACTAGCGCAATCTGTGACTGGCTCACACAACTACATTATTTTTTAGTAAAAAATTGGCGACAGCTGATCCATATAGATAGAATGTCTTCTTCTGTATCCAATAGTCAATGCTTTCACCTAAACAGTAGAGAAGCTGGCCGTGAGTAGAATGTGACGTGGCAGGGAGACCGTCTTCAGCATTGTCCTACACCCAAATATCTTGGTGTCATACTGGACCGCACACTGACATATTTAAGGCGCAAATGTATTGCGACAAGGGGTAAAGCCTCAGTGAGGAATAATATCATCAGGAAGCTCACCAGCAGATGATGGGGTGCTAACCCTAATGTCCTCAGAACCTCAGCTTTAGCGCTCAGTGTGTCTGCTGCGGAGTACAGTGCACCAGTATGGAATGCATCGTCACGTGCAAAAAAGGTTGACATTGCAGTCAATGACATGGCTCGGATTGTAACTGGGTGTTTGAAACCAACCCCAGTACACAAACTCTATCCTATCATAGGGATCGCCCCCCCATCAATCCGACGTGATGTCGCTGCCGACGCAGAAAGGACTAAGCAAGAGACCGACCCTCGTCACCCATTATACGGCCACCAACCTGCAGAGCGACGGCTTCGGTCCAGAAAGAGCTTTTTATCACGGACACGAGTCGTGGATGGATCACTCTCAAGCAATCGGGTGGCAAGGTGGGAGGCCACGTTGACTAACCCTCCCATACCAGCCAGGGAAGAACAGGCTCCTGGTGGAGGCCTGCATCACACGGTGTGGAAGACCCTAAATCGAATCAGGGTCGAGGTACCAAAATGCAAGTTAAACATGCAGAATGGGGTCTCTTAGACGAAGAAAACATCTTGTGTGTGTGTGGTGCTGTTCAGGATCCTGGCCATCTGCTGATCTGGCCACACCTAGACCAGTCTTGCACATTAGATGATCTTTTACAAGCGAATGACAAAGCCATATCAGTAACTAATTTTTGGAGAAGCAAAGTCTGATTTCCGGACACGGAAAGTAAAGTAAGTAAGCCCATCATTCACAAAACTGTCAAGGCTGCTGGAGTTGTGATCCGTTTATACTTCACATAATCACATGTAGTACTCGGAGAGAGCTTTAATTGCCTGTCAATTCGTAGGCGTCACCAGCATATACAATGCAACCAGCATATAGCAATGCTGGTGGCCCTGCCTACGAATTGACAGGCAAAGCTATCTCCGAGTACTTAACACTGTTTAACACGCGGTGAGCATTCTGGGTAATAGTAGTATGTTTTCTGTGCTAATGTATCTTAAAATACCATAAATGGTTCCCAAATTCCGCACTGCTTGCCTTTAACACTTCTTTCACCACTCCCTAAGACGTGGACCTGTTTCCTTCCCTTCTCATAGAATTTTAGTATTGCAGATACATTAATATAACTGCCCCCAATGGTTCTCACACTCCGCACTGCTCGCCTTGACTACTTCCTTCACCCCTTCCTACGACGTGGACCCATTTCCCTACATTCCCATGGTATTTTAGTATTGAAGATACTTAATCTAGGTAACTGTCACCAACGGTTCCCACACTCCGCACCACTCGCCTTTACCACTTCCTACGACGTGGACTTGTTTATCTCCCTTCCCCATAGCATTTTAGTATTGCAGATACATTAACCTAACTGCCAAAAATGGATCCCACACACTGTACTGCTTGCCTTAATGCCTTGACTACTTCCTTAACCCCTTCCTGACGTGGACCTGTTTCCCTCCCTTCCCATAGCATTTTAGTATTGCATATACATTAATCTAACTGCCACCAACGGTTCCCACACTCCGCACTGCTCGCCTTTACCACTTCCTACAACGTGGACTTGTTTCCCTCCCTTCCCATAGCATTTTAGTATTGCAGATACATTAATCTTACTGCCAAAAATGGTTCCCACACTCCGCACTGCTCGCCTTGACTACTTCCTTCACCCCTTCCTACGTGGACCTTTTTCCCTCCCTTCCCATAGCATTTTAGAAAATCAAATACACTGGCCAGTGGCCACAATATATTTCATCACTACACTAGGTCCTAGGCCTAAAGTGACTCTTTTTGACCCGAGGTCAAGTTTTAAGATCGAGGCAAAGCCGAGGTGAGCGAGCAGCGAGGGTTAAAAAGTCACTTTTTGCCCGTGTTGTGAACTCAATTTTTCGTCATAGGTACCTATTGCATACCGTATTAATTAACAAACAAATCTAGAAAACGTAATAATTTATATGTATATTTATATATGTATAATTTATAACCTCTCAAAACGATTTCCTGTTTTCAAGGTTTCCAATTCTGCTTATGCAAATAAGCAGCTGTTTAGTGGACTTTTTAAAAAGGTCTAGAAAGAAATTGGGAAATTTTGTGTTTGAGGGTAAAAAATTAGAAAAACCATTTTCCCCATAAAACCCCCCATTAAACCCCGTTACCATGGTCCGATCATGCTGTGGTTCGAACTTATTCAAGTTTATCCCACCTTACCTTACACCTTTAAACCAAATTTAATCAAAATCGGACAAGTAAACATTTATATACATGTTAAAAATTTGAACGAATGGTGTTTTTGGCCTCTGGGGACATCATAATAAACAAGTAAATCGGTCCCAGGACTCCCGAGCCTAGGTATTTTCGTGCCACCTACGGTTTTTAGCTACTTCCCTATAGGGAAATTCGCTAAAATGAATTTTACTCCCTAGGGAGTAAAAATAATACTTTACTTTAGACCCGCAACGCATGCATTAAAAACGGCTGTTTTGCTGCAGTATGATGACGAAAAAAATATTTATTGTTAATTGTATAATTGGCATACCTGCAACCATTAGCGGAAACAGGTGAGTAAGAGTAGCTGAAGAGTGCTGCTGCCTAGTGGCGCTGCGACGAACAACTTGGTTGCTCATTATCATTATGTGCTAGCTAGTGAGTAGTGTTTGGAGCCGGGGAGTGGCGCTGAACTGGTATTATATTCTCTTGCGCAGAATCACATTCCGAGCGGAGCTACCTGCGGCTGTCGACTGTCGGAAAATGTGAATAGTTATTTAGAGAGCAGTGGATCAGTGTCGGGGTTGGATGTGCGTGAGTGGTTGGGTGGGGTTTGTTTTCAACTTAATGTTATTTTTTCGGGGGATTATTTATTTTTAGTAGGTGATTTTTTTACTTAAATATGGCTCTAAACCAGGACGTAGAACAGCTGAAAAGTAACTTAGTTGTTAGGATGGACCAAGATTCGGATACTGAACTTCAGGCTTTATTTGACAGTGTCTTAAAACCAGACTCAAAACGAATGTTAGCAGTGCCTTTTCGAATGCGTAAACTTCCTAATTCGTTTTTTAATCCACCGTCAACAGGTTCGAAATCACCCTCGGTTTCTTCTATATCCCATAGCAGAGAAAATTCAGCTGATTCTGCTTTTGGAACGACAACGACAACAACTACCTCGACTGGATTACAAGTTCATCATCCTCGAGCTCATAGTTCCCCCGCTTCATTGCAACAAACTTATGCGTCTGCTGGTCATCAACAACAACATCAACATAAACCTCAACGAAGTTACGATATAACCAACATAGATCAAGATCTAGGACCTCTGCCACCTGGTTGGGAACAAGCGAGAACGTTAGAAGGACAAGTTTATTTTCTCAAGTAAGTAAGCTGAAATTAACTTATATTGTTTCCTTAGGCTTAAAAATTAGACCACCTTTAACCTATAGGCCTACCTATCAGGTAAGCTTACTCCTCTCTCCCCCCTTTAAGGAGTAAGTTAGGCTAGGTAGGCTACCACGAAGGATTTTCCTACAAGACTTGTAGGAACTGTCCTAGACACCAACACTACAGCTTTCTAAAATGACTTTTTGGTCGTCAACACTTCCTGTAGACACCAGATTACTAGACACCCTTTCATAACTTAGACAATATTTTAGTGACACATAGCTTCAAGCCTAACCTGTTTAAAAGTTCTTTGCCACTCTAACTTATTTAGTGTTTTGTTGGCCTTATTGGTACAGTATCCCAAGTCAATAAGTGTTAAGTGTTAACTCACAGTTACCGGTACCGGTACCTCTAAGTTAAGTTACTTTTACCACAGTTTTTTCTTGCCCTGGTTAAACCTTGACTGGAGCTTTGATTTTTAAACACATTACCGGTAGGGTGAATTAAATGATTCGCAGAAAGTTTTTTTCTATAGCCTAAGCAACTAATAGTATGAAATCGTAATAAGTTAAGCTAACTTAAAGGTGCGTTGTTCAAGACACGTCTGAAGAGGTCATCGCTGAGTGGGGATTGCCAGGCGGTGATCATTGGGCCTTGATCGTATTAGAGCCGTTGGCCAAGAATGTTCCAACAGTTGGTTGCTGCTAGCTAACTTACTGTAGTGTTAGTGCTCTTATTATGAGTCTTACAGCTTGTTCAAATGACGACGTTAGACTCCGCATTGAGCACAAGTTTAGCAAAATGTGAAATCGTAACTTAGCCTACACGTGACAGCGGTAGACACAGCGTTAGTGTAACCCACTACTCCAGTGTGACTAAGGAGCTAGAAGTGCGCTGAAAATATAGCGCCTGAAGTGAAAACTATAAGCACTGCATTTTGGCGACGTTGGTTCAAAGCGCACGTTTGCATGTGAACCATCCCATTTGTTCCTAGGTAAGCTACTTGGCTTAACGTGCGTTTGACAAACGCCCTGTCTATCGCTCTCATGTTAACAAGCTGTTAAGAAGCAACTGTCGGAAGTTTCTGTTGATTGTGAAATAGAAGACGAGGAAATTATGGTCATTATTCTTAAAAATGAACCTCGATTGTGCAATCACAGTTACTTAGGTACATAGAGAACCGAGGAAGAACATTTTGAACTAGTGATACATTAACCATTTAACTTAGACAAAGGCTGTTTTGTGAGTTTTTTTAGATTTTTGAAGAACCATTTCAAGATTGTTTACGACTTGATAGAGGATGTTTTATAAAAAAACTTCATGCAATTGCACTCCATACCCAATAACAAGATGCCACATTCAATGCTTAGTAGCTGAGAAATGGACACGCGACTGGACGTAACATACCGTGTACATGTTTTGGAGAACGGGCAGTGTAAATACCTACGTTAAGTTATATATTGTAATGTTCAGTTTGAATTAATGAGTGAACTATGGATCAAATAGCCATTTGACTGTGAAAAGTATGTACCGTAGGTATTAACTTTACAATAAAACCAAAATATAAGACTTAATACAGGGAACTGCACTCCACCTCTAAAAATGCCAACCAATCGAAAACACATTTTTTAAACTTTAATATAAGCACCTTGATAGGAAGAAAACTCCGTGTTTTAAGTCACCTATTTATGGTTAGTAATTCATGGTGGTAGCACTTACATTTAAAGTTACCTATATTTAAAGTCATGAACCTATCATAGGCCTAGTTTAACTTATATCACCAAAAACTGCATTTAGGCCTAATTGATGGCTTAATTGTGCAGGCCTATTGCTTCTTCTAGAAAAAGTTAACTGCAAAATTGTATGGTGAGCATTTTAACAATATGTAGGCCTATGTGGCGGAAAGCGTTTCGATTTAAACTCTTTTTTTTTCAGTGTTAAAATGAGTTGCAAATGTTATTGGGCCATTCAAAATTGATTTCAAAGCTTTCTGTTTTTAGTTGTTGCCTACAGTCCCTAAAGGCCTATAGCAACACTCTTTTCTAGAGTTTAGACGGTTTGTACATGGAGCAAGAGCTTTTAGCGAATTTCCCATGTAGGGAATAAGCTATTACCGTAGGTCTCATGGTAAGACCTGGACGCGGGACCGATTTACTTTTTTGTTTTGAGGTCCCCAGTGGCCAAAAACATCTTCCGTTCAAATTCATATATAGCCTATATTTTAATTTAGGTGTTCACGTAATAGGGCTGCTGATTTATGTGTCCGTTAGCACGATAACTCGAGCAAAAATTATCCGATTTTGATTAAATTTGGTATAAACGTGTAAACCTACATTTATTCGAACGAGTTCGCAAACCAGCATGATCTGACAATGGGAACGGGGGTTTATGGAGGGTTTTATGGGGTAAAATGGGGTTTTCCCATGATTTTTGACCCTAAAAACATAAAATTTTGGAATTTCTTTCCCAACCATTTTGTAGAGCTTAAAAAAAGAAATAAATTAGTATATTGGAGCATTGTTGTATTGCCTAATGGTTACTGAGAAAATAAAAAAAAGTGCAAATTTAAAATTCCCATGTTATTCTTATGGAGAAAATGAAAACTGCTGTAGTTTACTTGTTTATGGATAACTTATATGTTGATCAAATTTGGCAAATTTATTTATTTCATCCTATACTATTGACGTTTGATCAAAAAACACTATTTAGGTACCTTCCTCGTAGCAGCAAACCTAAGCACTCATTAAATCTAATCTATCTATACTTATTTAATACGCAAGCAGGAATTTTGTGACAATTACTCCTCTGAAACTACTCAACTGATTGACATGTTTTTGGTGTCATTGGAAAGAGCTTAACGTGAAGTTGTGCAGGAAACTTTCTTTTTAGGGAAATAATTAGAGAGTGAGGTTCTGGGGCCCTTTAAAGTTTCGTATTTCTCCATAAGATTAACATGGGAAACAAAAATTGTTTTGAAACTCCAGCTGTTGTCAGAAATTAAATATTGATAATTTTGGTCTCCATGGAAGCATGAGAAAATTTACAATGTTTACTTTTGCTTTGACATTTAAATGTAAACAACCAGAACTGTCAAATGTCTATTAGCCTATTTCACAATTTTAGACAGCTGATAAAAAAAAACAACTATGTGGTAGGTTTATTTAATCTTGAACTATAAATCTATTGGATTATTATAAATCTATTTCAATAATTATGAAACAAATTTTTCCCGTTGCGAAGCAAAAATTAATAGTGAGAAGAAAAAGTTGTTGTAAACAGTCAATGTGTAAATTATCGAAGTTGTATTAAAAATGTGTATAGTTTTGGATGTTGGTTTGTGTTTAACGATATAAGTTAGTTATTAAATTTTTATTTTAAGTTTTAAGGATTTGGCATATGACTAAGCCTATGACAAATAACACCATTTCAGATTTCTGCCAGTTATTGCCTAACTCTGTCCTGTAGAGTTTAAAGTAGCCTACACCTTATTGTCTACAAATTGGCTAGATAACTTAGGTACGGTACTTAATAAAAGCTGACAGCCTTTTTACGTTGACCATAAATTGTAAGCTTACATTTTCCCGTCCATGGGCAGTTTGATTGTTAAAAATTCACCCTTTAAAATGGAAAAGGACTGTTATGTAAATTGTACCTAAGTATTTCCATTGGTTGATAATCTTTTAGTTGGCTCTTTTGCTCTTTTAAAATCATTGGAAATTATGACTGTTATAAGTTTTCAACCAAGTAATTTGTTTGTAAATAACTCCTGTACTTCTTTGCAATTGCTCGATTTCGAGCAACATGTACACTAGTGTTATTTAAATTGGGAATATGTCTTATTTATAGAAATATTTTAGTAAATATGTAATCAGACAAGTTGAAATTCGCTTAGTCTGCAGGTTTCCAGCGGTGGGGGTATTTTTCGCATAAGCTAAAGTATATGCGTATCCCAAAACAGTTAGTTTCGTTTCGATAACACTCTGTTAAGATAACACAGGTTGCACAATATGCTGTTTCACCTGCGATGGAATCCCATGGCCTAGGCCTACTTCTTACAACCCTGGCCCCCTTAAAAAAATGTTAAGATAGCTGTACTTTTTAAAACTTAAATAGGTAGCCTAGTTGGGCAGTCTTCAGAAGAGTTTTAAATCTAGGCCCTACCTCTTTATAATAAAATAGGGCCTAGAATCTTAGAATCTTTCTGGCTATCACGATACGGTAAACTTCCTAACAGTAAACACAAGCAGACTTCTTCCCATTGTAAGATCTGCTTGTTTTGACTAGGCTAGTTCATGTTGGGGATTGAGCTCTAAAGGCTGTCTCAATATAAGTTGAGGCAGACTACCTGACCACAGGGTGGAACCCGACCATGGCTAGGCCGGTACTTCGACGGACCCTCCAGACGCTTGGAGTAAATTCTATTAACTACGCTTCACTGAATACTTCACTTATAAGCGCGTAAATATATTGATTTATTGATCAATTCGTCATATCTGAAAATAATGTATTCTAGGTTATAAATTAAAAACAAAATGTTTCATATTCGTCACATGCAAATTGGCCGACTTGATGTATTAAAACATGCTAATTAGTCTCTTGTAGTACAAAATTAATTTATAAGTCTGTATTAATAGCACATCTTTCAATATAAATAAAATTAGAGTTTTGTCTGTAGATTGTTCAGAATTAAAAATTTTTTGGTTATTTTTACGTTTTATAGGCCTAAATAAAAAAAGTAAGATTAATAATTGTGTGGCTTAAATAACGGGTTTGATTAATCGCAAGGGCAATATGTAATTGTAAATTAAATCAAATAACTAGCCACCATCCAGGTCGGGAACCGGAGAATTGGAGTGTACAGTATCAAGTTGTAGTCGAGTTTTAATAACGGCACCAAAAGCCTACAATCGAGGTTTTCACTCATTAACGGCAATTTAAATACTGTTGTGTCAAGTAAAAAATCACAACTACACTGGTTGATCGCGGATGTTGCT